TCCATCGCCCATCCATTGTAAGGACTAGACCCAACACTGGCTTTTTCGATATCAAGTCTACGTACGCCGGTCATTTTCCCAGCGTGGGCATGTCCGCGGCTTGCTAAAATTCACGCAAGACTTGCTAATGGAAAACTGATTCATCACTAACGGTGAAAATGGCAGGATATTGCATTAGCCATGAAAAAATGGGATTGTCCATGTCGGGTAATGGGAGCACCTTGTCCACCGATATGCCTATGAGGGCCCAGAAAGAAACAATATTACCCAAACGGGTAAAATTGATGCAACAGCTGGGAAAAGTTCCCCCATCTTTCTTTTTTTCTTTCGTCTACCAAGACAACCTTCTGTGGAAGGCCACTACTGCAGTCGGATAATTTCTTAGAAAATCCAAGTCGTATTCCAGACTATCTGAACCTTGATAGGCAGCACTCTCCTCCATTGGGATTCATCCATGACTGAGAGTATTAATCACAGCAATCTCATTCGAACCCGCAAAGCGGTTGCCCCCTTCCTTCCCCAGATAATCTTCCCACCCCACGCGACGGTGATCTGAAAACAGAAGCGACCACTCCTGTTTGAGTTCCCACCGTGCACCTGCCAGCTATCAGGGCAGGATTAAAATTAAGGAATAAGAAAATAACAGCCACTTATCTCGTACTTTTCTACTATCAACTCTATGCACACCGCATCTCGAACGATCATGTCTGCTGACCTTGTCCTCCCCCCCTCCAATACAAAAAGTAATCATGATATTGTCTGATCCCTCACTTTTTCCCTCTCTGGCCTTTCGTTACCCAGAGATAGCGACAGCAATTAGTTGCTAAGAGATATTATCAACCAGTGGTCGGTTCCGATGCATATCAGCTGCAGGACCCGAATAGCTCGAACGTTGCCTGCGCCTAATCGCATTGACATGGGATCCTATTGGTAGGTGTGACATGATGGCTGCAATGATAGGAAAGACATATCGAGGTACCGGTGTCTATCTTTTCCGTCTTATCTTTGTTGCAATTTGGGGGTAAATTGAAGCGGATGGCAGTAGTGCATTGCCTGACTACCACTACTACTACTATCGTGAAGCTGCGTTGAGTGTCTACTTGTTGTGACCAGATATCACGGATGAATTACCGGGGCGCCTGATAGGAAACAAATCACGACATTCCGTGTAAGCGCCAATACACAATTTGTTCCATTCACGATACGCAAATCCTGTACCTGCGGTTATCTAAATTGGGAGGATTTCCCTTATCAGTGGCTGCCCCTCAAAACCCCGCCATGAGTCGCGTGGGTGGATCATGGCGCGCCTGCCGACTGATTTTTTTTCACTTATCGGCCTTTTCATTTCCTTTTAATCGCGCATGGACAATACACTTTGGGTCGACGCTTTGCCCTTTCCGCACAGCACTCTCAAAAAAGGCATCACGATCGAACTATTGTCCCTTATCCAGGCTACCGGCCCGGTGGAATATCCCGTTCCCATTTCACCCCCCGTCAACTCATATCAGTTGTCCAAAGGATGCTTGTACATTGCGCATACGAAGTCTGACAGCTTACCACCATGAAATACAGTTACACACAAGCGGGTAAACCCAAGAAAGGCCATGTCCCGGATGCCTTGCCTCGCAACGCAAGTCGACTGGCTGATTTGCCGGGAGTGGGGCGTGGCAAAACATACCTTGAAGGGAGAATGGCAAGAGAGCCGCCCGCCAACCCCGAGACCGGCCACTGTTTCCATGTTAACTGGAGTTATAATTAGGTTTTGTGACTAATATCATGTGAGTACGGTGTGTTACTCGTGGGCGCACCGCCTCTTCTGCCGAGCCTGGAGGGAAAAACGGTTCCAGAAGGGAAAAAGTCAAATGAACGGCGGATGAATGGATTGGGGGGAGGGGGAAAAGGGAAGAAGGGAAAAATGAGGTTACTCCTGAGTTAGAGCATCCTTGTTCAACCCCAGGATTTCCCATCCGCATGCTCTGTGGTGACCCATTCGTCTGTTAGTGTCCGATCGTGGGTTTGGTCATTCCCTTTCTCCGCGAGTCTTTGTCTGCCGGGGGTGGGTGGAAGGGGTGCTGCAGCAAATGACAGAGAGGCCAAGTCGGGAGTTTCAGGAATCCGCGAGGGAGAGAGTGGCTGCGTCTCCGATCAGCCCTGTGGACGTCATGGCTGGCCTCCACACGGTGATGCTAACATGAGGTCTCAGATGTCATTGTTAGAGAACTGGGCAGGATAGCCTGAAATCCACCTAGGAGGCATCAGGTTCAGTGTCTTAAACCGTGCGCCATAAAAGCGTCATCTTCCTTCAACACATCCTCCCGGTTACCGTGCGAACCTGGAAGCCGGGCTGTGTGCCGCGCCCCAGAATAGAACGGGAGCAAGAATAGCAGGAACTGAGCCATCACAGACTGTGGCACTGCACAATGACTAGCCGAGATGGGTCTAGTGCCCTCCAGCCGACGACACAGTACACAATCCAAGTAACCACTATTATCATCACCCTACTTGACTCGTAACTGATCGTGATCCGAGTTTCACATTCATCTTGATACAGTAGCCCGATCCCCCCTGATTGAAAATGATACACAAAATAGAAAAAAAATGCAACCGCATATACACGGACGGTAATGCCGAGTACGAGTGGACCAACTTACCACCACCGGACTGACCAACAGCTGCAGCACCTGGTGAAAAACTAGCAGACCAAGGATGGGTTCGGGCGTCACAACAGTGGACTGGCGGACCACGATGCAAGCCTCTCAGCATATCAAAAATCAATATATCCCTCACCGGCCAAGCAGAAAAAGAATTCAAAGCCCCCATTTCCGAATTAACCCCTCAATGAAACGGACGATAAAACTAATCAGAACATGGTTCTGTCTGTAGATCACGCCCTTTCAGTTCGCGATGCTTATCGTGGCCTTCTCATTGGTTGGTTGTGGGTGGTCATGACAAACGACGCTGACTGGTTTCGGGCCGACCAGAGCGATTAGGTGAGATGCGATTTACATTTGTGTAACTGGGAGATACAAAGTTGTTTGCTTCTTTGCGCTATACTTGAATGGTATTGATATTAACTTACTAGACTACTATATCGCTGAGCTTTCTTATCGTGATATTGTTTAGTAGTACGGAGTACTATATACCTTCATCAAGCACCCACATCTTCACCACTACAGAGACTCTTTACTACTATACATACAACATTCCAACCTACCATTCCTTTCCCTACAGAAGATGACAGTAGTAATATCCATTATTCACAATCATGATTCCTCGGAACATATCCCTGAATCGCCATATGAAGTAAATGCAACATGCACATGCAACACCCCCAGAGTTCCGAGAAATCCAACCATATACAATCCGAAGCCGATCAATTGACACGTTCGAATGCCATCCCATCTCGCAGACCATTACATTCCTCTCAAGATCATGATCATCACCACCATCCAATCCTCATACTACAAATCACTCACTCATCGACTACCAGTTTCGTATACTTACATACCTACACCACCACCACCACCACAATGACCCAACCCAAACCGGCACCAACAATACAATAGCCTAACCCATCTGCACGACATATCCAATATCACTTCAATAATGACATGTCTAATCGACATGCCTAGTAGTTCACAGCAACAAACCCAGGTACTCCGTAGGATCTCGACACTTTTGCTGCAGAATATAAACCTTAATCCCATTGCAGATGATGAAGCACTATGGAGATGGTAGGTAGATGTCTGACACATAGCAAAACGATCTTCAACAAGGTAGTATCAATGACTCAAGCCCGGGGATTCCGATTAGTTAGTTTGTAGTTAGTTAGTCCAGTCCTCAAGAGACAGACAGGGCCAGGGCCAGCATCAGCACCAGCCACAGCAGCGATCTCGGCCGCGGAGTAGTAGTAGCTTTGTTGCATTGCAGGTATGTATGTATGTATGTATGTATGTATCATGCGGTGCCTGAATATGGGGTAGCTGAAGTGTTAAACTCAGCTAGCTAGCTGAGGCTAGGATTTCCATACCGGATTTTACTTAGTATACTTACATACTCAGGTGAAGTAACCGTGAGAGAACTAAACCATATAACCGTGAAACAGAAACAAAAACAAAGAAGCTTACGTACGTACGTACATACATAACATACATACATACATGTAATAATAATTCAATATCAACAGAAAATAAAAAGAGAGAAAATAGGAAAAGAATTGAATGAAAGATAATACCTCAACAAAGTGTAAAATTCAAATCAAAAAGCCTAAGCTAAGCTAAGTACCTGACACTTACCCCCAAATTCCCCATAGTTAGGCATCCAGTTTTAGCCAGTCAGGGAGAGTAATTCGCGCAGTTGATCAAAGGGGGGGTGCCGCCAGGATAAAATTTTTTTATTTTAGTGCATAATACTAGTAATGTCCGAGCTTCAACTTCATTCCTCTTTTTCTTGATTTCATCATTTTAGGGGAAAGAAGAAACTAAAGAAAGGAAGACACACACGGGATGGAAATGAATGCAAAGTGCATAGTTACATACATACATAATGATCTAGACAACATCTAAATTTTCAATTGTATCTTCTTTGCAATGTTTCAATTCAATTTCCGAGTATGAAGGAAGAGAGGGTTTTATTTCCGCATATTTACATACGTACAGTACAATAGACTAGTAGGGGAATTCTCAAGCACATGTACCTAGTAGCAGTGTAAACCCTCCTTGCATGTTGTTGGGGTTGAGCTTTGAAATTTAATCCCTCATACTCTATTTTTGTTTTTCGCTTGAAAAAGAGTGAAAATGTGGCGGTCGGTTGGTTCAATTGGCTTGTGACTCAGTTGATCGGTTTCAGAGGGATCGGATGGTGATCCATTTCTATCTATACCGCCTCTACTTTGTACTATTATTATTATTGTTGGGCATTTGCCGCTATTGGTTACCAGTAGCTACTAATAGGTATAAACCTGCTATAAGTCATTGTGGATTCTTATAATTATAGACTTGCGAGTTACAACAAATCCATTGGTTAAACTAGTTAACTACTTCGTATGGAAATGCTAGGACAGTTGTCATCAAGGCTGGTCTAGATTCCCGAGGCTCCTCTTTTTTGTGTTTGCCCCTGCAGATGGGCCGATGGACAGACACCCACGTAAGTTAACCCTCGCTCTGGAACTTTGACGGTCAGGTGCTTTTTCTATTTGCTTTTCGGTCTGGCATACTGTACATTTCATTCGCTTTCTGTCTTGCTAGTATTATTTTTCGGTGGGCCGGTTGTGATTGTTGTGATTGTTGTGATTGTTGTGATTGTTGTGATTGTTGTGATTGTTTGTTCGATTTGACCGGCATTCCACCGTTAGTCATGTCAAGTTGCCTCGGATCTAGTTCCACACCCACAGGGTCACCATGGTCAAACACATGGTCCCTTCCCAGTAGTTGTACAGGACTGCATCACATTAAGCTTAGATTCCCTTTCACATGCTCCAGTCCATATCAGGTGGTTTAGAATCGGGTGGTACAGAGTTGGTTTTGTTTGGCTTCAACTGGTGTATGACAGCCTCTAGCACCCATCCCACGCAGATACTGCACAGACCGTGATTCAGGAAAAATGGGCCGAGTCTGCTTCCAGAACATCGGTCGAATCTTCGGCAAGTCCCCACGTCTGAATTAGTGCGACTCCTGGTCGAGGATATCCCAGCTTGCGTCACCGCTTAGACCGATGGATGAGAAGATCGATCGCTCTCCACTTCCGACGCAGTGGACGATGCGTATTCCTCCCCCTCACTGTCTTGGACTCCGCGGCAAGTTTCAGCGGCCCTTTCGCTGCCGCGCCCATCGTAAAATCCATTCCACCAAGATCCCAATGTCCTGTGATATTTCCAGCACATTTGCGATTTTGCTTTGCAGCTCGAGAGTCTTTCTCTCTGGGGTGTCCTCCATGCTGTCTGTGGTGGTGTTATTGTCATCTAGTAGACCCGTCATGTCCACAACTGATATCCGGCCATTCAGTCCAACTTCCAGACTAATGGACACCTTCGTTAATGCTGCCTCCACGTTGGCGGATTCCGACGCTTCGTCTGGCTGATCCACCGCGAAAAGTAGCATGATTACCGGTGCCTGTCCTAGTTGCGTCCGCAACGTTACGTCTACCTTGACATCATCAACAGTAGAATTGAGACCAGAGTTTCCGTTTCCCACCCCCACAGGACCTTTACCCTTAGCACTAGGCGAAGTTGCTAGTTTCTCGAAGCCTCCCAGCAATGCATCAAGCCTCTTCTGGTTCGGGTCGGCATTGCTCAAGATGATGACATCTTTCTTCGAATTTCCATCGGTAAACCTGGGTGGACTGAATGAGATATTCGAAGAATCAGCGGGCGTGGCGGGTTTATCCTCATCGGGCTTGTACGAGGAGCTGAAAACGCTGCGGATAAGGTTGGCCAAAAAGGCGTACTGACGAAGGATCTAGAAGAATCTGTCAGTAGTCTCGACACACACATCTGAGTCACCGAATCATACCGGGATAATGTCTGCGAGTTGCCGGGGATGTGCAAATGGGATCTCCCTCAATGTTCGGCCAGCAACAGACTCAAACGGCTGAAAAGTATAACTGTGATGCTTCGTACACGGCTTGCCCGTACTGTCAACCGATTGCACTGACATTCTACGTCTCCTCCGCTCAAGCTGAGAGGCCTCCTCGGGCCCCAAACCCATAGCACCTGCTGCCGACAGAGGCGACCAGCCCGGGGCCAGGAGTCCATCGTAGGTGACCATCTTGAATTCTTGCGGCAATTGCATTCCAAGATGCCGGTAAATATCAGATGCTGCCAGAATCGGTAGATCCAAGGCCGGCTCCAACTTCGCCACGAATCGACGATTAGGAGCAGAAGAACCCAGCATGTTCGAGTCAAGTGCCATGGCGTCAGGGTGACCTTGATTGTTGGTCAACGTCGCCGGCGGATCAACCCAATTGACAACTGCAGCTTCGGACCCATGCGCCTCACTCGACGACGGCCCATTGTCATTGTTATTGACTCCCGTCAACACCTCAGACCCAACCCAGTCCTTCGACACACGGAGAGATGGGTAACCCTCTTCGCACTCCACCACGATACTCCATTTCCCCTCCAAACTGCTCGGCTCATCATCCGATGGCTGCCCATTCGTCGCATCAACCACCATCGCATCAGATGACGTCCTCTGCTTCTCCTTCACATCCAGAACCCGTGCTTGCTGCACCCAGTAATCCAAACCGAGTCCAATGCGACTCCCCTTGTGCATACACGGCTGGCCAACCCAGCCACTGCACAGATGGTCGTACACCCCCGCAAACTTGCGATGTTTCCACTCCGCCTCCCACACGCGCTTCAAGCTCTCGTAAAGACCCTCAATGGCCTCGAAACAATTAACCTCCTGACTAAGCCGATCATGTTTGGCAAGCCACTGTAGATTCTCATGGAACCCACGCAACGACTTCCAAGCACCCCGGTCTCCTTCCTCCGGCGACTGTATCAAATCGCGCTTAAGCACCGCCGTAGCCTCGTCACGCTGCTCCCCATCTTGCGCATCAGGCGTCGCATACTTCAGACTAACATCCTTCACCACATTATACCCCCGGTGGAAGTCAATCTCCAGATCAACAAAGTTCCCCGCAATGCTGAGACTGTCTTCCTGCCAGATCGACTCGAACCCTTCGAGATCACTCAGTCGCTCAATACCCTCCCTGCACACGCCCCGCCCCGAGACTCGGGCTCGTAGGAGCTGAACCACGTCGTCTATATGTCTTCTGCGCTCCTCCTCGCTGTCGCGAGCACCCCCGAGCTTCAGTCCCGGCATGCCCAAGGCCTGGATATCATTCTCGTTCATGCCTGCACCGACAAGACCATCGTGTCCGGCGGGGGACGGACTGATCCCGCTATAGCCACCAAGCGCGAGGAGAGCCGACGGGGAACTGAAGGTAACGGGGTCCTCCGCTCCGGTAGTCGCGGCGAGAGGGGTAGAATATTGATGCAATGAAAAGGGGGGTTGGTTGTGTCCATGACCGGAAGCTGAAGGCGTCCTCGTTGACGGCGATTTGTGGGAAATAGGACGGGCCATATGAGCACCAGACGGACGAGGCGACGAGGTCAGATGTGTCGGAGTCGCTCCTGGGTTTGGCTTCGATGAGGGAGTCGCCATGGTGGTGTTTATTGAAGTGAGATCTATCCACCTCGAATAGGAAATTTACAAAGTGTATGAAGTAGCAAACAAAGGCTGGGTATCATGCAGAAAAATAGAGAGATAATGGAGAAGAAATCAAGCAGCCGATGAAATCATGGATGCTGCATATGTCGGACGACAGCAAAAACACACGACTTGAGCGGGGCAAACCGAAAGAGAGAATGATTGCGCAAGCGCCACTGTCTATTTAAGAAAGTATAGTAGATGAACCTCCATAACAAACGCAATCAAGAACCACAACCCAGGGAGCTAAATCGCAATGGAGGGGGGAAAGCCGAACAGATGGTCGTGCCTAGTACCGACCATCAACTGGTCGCGGCCGCAAACGCGCAGTCACATGAGTTTGCGCTGTTTGTCTGCGCAGCGTCATAGTTTCTCCAGGTCTTCGGATATTCTACCCAGCGTTTATTTACTTGAAAGTTCAATTGAGCTCCATTCTTTATATCAGCACTTGGTTCAAAATGTTTGGCATTCGCTCATTCGTCCGCCAGACGCCTAGGTGGACGCAGCTCCGTGCTGTGTCGACGCTCGAGGGCCATTCTCATATTGTAAGTACATTTCATTCCAAGAGCTAGCTAAATCGCAGCAATCTACAAACCAACCCTACTAACCTCCCTCCCCAGTACGTATTCCCCAAAAACGGCACCAACATCCTCTCTCTCCTACCCTCCGAACCCACCAACCCGGATCTCGCCCTCGGCGTGACCTCCAAGCTCCCCCCAACACCCGATTCCTTCAAAGAGAACCCGAAATTCCTCAACATCCTGCAAGAAGTGATCGCGGAGCATGGATACAAAGATCCAGAAGCTGTTTCACAGGCCCAGGTGATGGTCTCAACAGCAGGCGCTAACCTAATGTCTGGGGGAGTGCTGATGGGTGGCGCACGGTCGAGGAGACGGCGCGGCGAAGTCGGTGACTCCAGTGGCGGAGCTAGTGGTCAAGGGGGTGCTGGTTCGGCGGGGAGGGGAGGCTGGATTCATTTGTCGGATGGTAGACGGCCGCCGGAGTATGGGAGGATTGCTTGGTATGTTGTTTTTTTCCTGTTCGTACCTGCGGAGTTGGGTGTGGGCTGACGAGGCGGGATGGATAGGCCTGAGGATATCTTTGGGAGTCTGGAGGTGGATGCTGACGGGAAGTTTGTGGGAGGGAATGGTAATTATCAGGCGAGTGGTATGTTGCGTGATTGATTGATTTGATTGTAGGTCGTTGGGTTGGGTGATGGTGTGGCTGACTTGGGCAGGAACTTATCGCATCGTGACTCGTGATGGAATGTAGGTTCCCTCTATTGCTGATATGACTGCGTGAAATGTGCTAACTGGAGTTTAGTTTCGGTCTGAGCCCATTTCTACGGGAGAAGTTGGTCCAGAGACTACGCCAGCAAGAGTCTCAATAGGCTACTTGGTTAGGAGCCTTGTACAATAGTTCATGTTTGTATTATTTAATGGGCTTTGTGGGATAGTATCTCCATTCATACTGCTGGCAGTTGAATCAAGTTGGATCATGCCTCAATTACAGATAATTAGCTCCCGGGTCCTGCCCGGAGCTTAGATTCTGGGTATCTCCATCTTTCATGCAAATTCCACGCCTCACTTCCCAAAAAAGTTCGTAATCCGCTGAGTCCCTGCAGGAGGCTGCTTCTGCGGGCTCTTCTTCAACGGCTTATTGTGCGTGGCACTGCGCATCTTCTTCCCTGCCGGCGTCGCAGGCTTGGACGGTGAGGTCTTCTCCGGGCTCTTCTTCGGCGATGTATCTACACTCGGCTCCGTTTTCTGCAACTTAGTATCCTCCGTCTCGACATCCGGAGAATGTTCCCTCTTGATTCCGGTAACCGGCTTGGGGGCATTATCCTCACTCCATTCCGCATCTTTCGTGGGTCTCTCATCCTTCACTCCTTCTTCCACCTTCACCGCGGCACCCTTCTTCGCATTGGCAAAGAAGTTCGCAATATTGCTCTTATTCTCCTTACTACTGACCGGAACTATAAAGTCCGGCGAATCATTCCCTACCTTCCCCACCTCCTTCGCCACAGGATAACATTCCAGCTCGCCCTCATACGGCTTGAGGATCGACTGCAGCTCCTTCGACCACTCCGTCCTGGAGGGGTCCAGCCAAATCTTCATCTCCTCGCTATTCGGATCCAGAATCACGGGCATCCGATCATGCAGGAACTTCAAGTAGGGATTGGACGAAGTCGTAATGATCGTATATGTGTAGAGATATTCATCGGAATCTGTATCTCAATTAGCTCCGACACCCCAACATTCCCTCAGACATATGAAAATATATTATCTCACCCTCATACTTAACACTGTCCCACAACCCCGCAAAATACATCAAATCCCCATCCTTCCTCTTGACAAAATGCGGAACTTTCTCTTTCCCTCCCGGTCCCTTCTTCAGCCACTCATAGAATCCCTGACACACCACTACGCACCGCTTCCTCCGCTTCATGGACGTCCACAGGCCCCGGTCCTCGATTAGTGAGTCATCTCGGCAATTGATCGTACGCATAAGACTTCCGTAGTCGGGGTTGCGTTTCGTCCAGAACGGGATGAGACCCCAGCGCATGCTGTGGAGCTTGTATTTGGTGGCTTTGCTGTTCTTTTGTTTTTCTTCTCCTGCATCTTCCTCCTCCTCAACTTCGTCTACTGCTGCTACTGCTGCTTCAGTCACCTCTTCGTCGACGTCAGGTTGACTAGCTGGCTCATCATCATCATGATGAGAAGACGGGTACATATGCGTTTCGGCAAGATAAACAGCGCCAGTATTCCCCGGTGCGAAGTTGTAGGTTTCGCGAACGTCTTCGTCGGGAGGGGCGTCGTCGACTTGAAGGCCTTGGTCTTGGAGACGGCGGCGGATGAAGTTCATACGCTATTTGTTCATCTGTTAGTTACGTGTGGCTAGTGGTGATGGTGATATATAGTACCACCGGAAAAGTATACAGGGCGGAGGATGAGGTACGTACCACGCCTAAAGCGTATCGTCCACACATGGTGAGATGATTGAATTATCAATGAGGTGAAAATGGAAGCGCTGGAGTAATGAAAGGGTAAGCTGAAGTGGAATGCGACTGAAGAGAGAGAGAGAAGAAAGGAAGACTAGGTTGCGACGTCATGCGGCAGGGCGGAGAGGGAAGAAGCTAAACTACGATCGATCGGCGGGAATCTCTAACTGTAACCTAATCAAGTTGTGAAGGGGGTCTGGAACTTCCCGCTGTTCGTGCACTGCTTAGCGGACTCTTCTCATATTTGTCTTGCTTCAATCTCACTTACTTCTTAGCTTAGAGTATCTATAATTTAATTATATCTTAGTGGTACATCTTAAGCGGCTAACTGAGCGACTTGGAATGTTCAATGCCGCATTGCGGTGCTTTTACTATATCCGGAAATTGTTAGCTAGCAGTATATACTTTTCAAGTAGATTCTATGATGGAAAATCCCTAGTATCATTGCGCTGGTAGCATACAGTATGGGATACTCAAGATGAGTATAAACAATAGACGCAGGATGTGATCTAAGTTGTCCTGGAGTACTATACACAATAGTTCGATAGTAGTACTTCATTATAACAAAGAAGAGGAGTTGAAGGATAAAGGCGAAGCTCCCAGGCCTCTATAAATGTAGATATAGAATTCCCAAAAAAAAGATATTAGGATAAATAGAAGGAAGTTTGGAGACTGAACGGTGATGCACGCAATAACGTATATAATGTCATCGCTCCTGGAGATACCCGCTAGCTTAGTTTACTATTGCAAAGGACGTATATGAAGTGAGTAGTAGCAAATAACCATAATCGTGTGAATGCGGACAACATATCATTTATTGAGATATAGCTACATAGCACTGACAGAATCAATGCCATAGCCTGGTGTCATGCAAGGTACGAGATCTTAGCCATGTAGATCAATCTCAGGGCTGGACCCGAGAAGAGCCTCAAATGGAGGTTGAATCTGGGGATAAGGTAGATAGGATGGAGCATTCCATCGACCGATGGATCGAATCCAGAACAGCGACATGATTATGACCCCGCAAGAATATTGAGATGTTACTACGAATCGATAGATCCTTCTACGGTATACCATCATCAAATTCCCCATCGGAGTTACCAAAGATAGTATAGTAAATAGTAAGGTATGTCTACCAGGTCTCTCCTCCGGTGATAGGGTGTAACTTTTTAACAGTCTTTTAAATGGTATTAGAACAATTTTGCATGTCATCCCTTTCACAAGATTCCAGACAGTTCGGATTTTTATGAAACGAAAAATCTCGAAGTAAAAGCTAGACATGTTCAAGGTGAAAACCCAGGAGAGAAGCGAAGAGAGAAGAACTCCCCTCCCTCCGAGGTGCTTTCATTGCTTCATGGCTCATACATCCCAACCAATGCCTGCCCTTTTTGAGTGTGTGTGTGTGTTTGGAAAAGGGAAAAATAAAAAACAGATATCTTTGTTATTTGATTTCTCTCCTCCGCTAAAATCTCAACACCGTCCCTTGGATTACTTGATGGGTATCAATCTATGCCCTCGACATGACACCCCAAGCGCGGATCTTGTGGTCGGTGTAACCAGCGAACAGAGTCTGGCCGTCAGCGCTCCAGGCCAAGCTGACACACTCGGGGTCGCGGCTCTTCTTGCCCTTCTCGACGTACTCGGGCTTGAGCTCGTCAACCTTGCTCTTCTTCTCGAGGTCGAAGATGGTGATGCTGCTGGCAGTGGCAGCGCAGAGCCAGTAACGGTTGGGGGAGAAGACGAGGGCGTGGATCTCGTCACCGGCGTGGAGGGAGTAGAGGTGCTTGGACTCGTTAAGATCCCAGAGCATGGTGGTGCCGTCCTTGCCACCGGAGGCGCAGAGGGATCCATCGGGGGAGATGGTGACGGCGTTGATGTAGCCGGTGTGACCGATGTGGTCGGTCTGGAGACGGCAGGAAGCGAGCTCCCAAACCTAGTTGTTTTTGCATGTTAGCTTTGATCCCACAGATACATCCTCTTCAGATTGAAGTTCTCAGTGGAAAAGCAATAAGAACAATAACAACATAAACAAACTATGTTTGTCGAGTGTCCATCAGGGCATGGGTGAATGTTTGTCTCATGGCCATAAGGCTCTGAAGTAGCAAATACGTTTATGCAAAAACATCTTCTGGACTTGTCGAAATTGCGGATAATGGAAAACTTGGATGTGCGGGAGTCGACTCAAACGTACCTTGACGAGCTTGTCCCAACCAGCGGAGACGATGACGGGGTTCTGGGGGTTGGGGCTGAAGCGAACGCAGGAAACCCACTCGGTGTGGCCCTTGTCGGTGATGGTGAACTTGCAGTCACCAAGGGTGTTCCAGAGCTTGATGGAGCGGTCGCGGGAAGCGGAGACAATCTGGCGGTTGTCGGCGGAGAAAGAAACGGAGAGAACGTCGTTGGTGTGGCCGACGAAAGTCCGGGTGGTCTCACCAGTGGAGAGCTCCCACAGGCGGAGGGACTTGTCCCAGGAGGAGGACAGAGCGTAGGCACCGTCGGAGGAGATCACCTATATAATCCCCATGAACGGTTAGCCAAAAGTTTTCTTCCCTTGATGCTTTTCCCAGTCCGGCCTTCTCGTAGGTCTCGATCGGGCTTCGTCCTTCGTTGTGGGGATGATTCTTCTTTCTTGTCTGGACTGGGACATGGTGGGGACGGAGTGATTCGGAGGGCATACACAGTCAGAGACGATGTGAGAGTGACCCTCAAGGCTGCGCTTGGGGTAACCGTAGGCCTGCTCGTCGCGGGTCAGGTTCCAGATGATCAGGGTCTTGTCGCGACTGCCAGAGAGCAGCATGTTGGGGCTATAATCGAGGAAGAAAAACATAAAAGTCAGAACCCAGTTTTGTCCATTTGATATATGAATATTCATGTTTCAACCAATGCGATCATTTTCTTTTCTCGCAACAATGCATCCATATACCACTTGTTCGGTAGCACATGCACACCTTGTTCGATTTTCGCAACAAAACGCATTTGTTTCATGTGTTCATTTCGGTGGTAGTGTAGTGTTGCCTTACTTCTCCAGAGAGGTAGCCAGGCAGGTAACCCAGCCATTGTGACCCTCAAGGGTACCGCGAAGGACGAGCTGCTCAGCCATGTTGGGAGTCTGGGAGGAGAGAGGGATGAACGCGGGCGGAGCAATTGTCGTTGACTCTAGGCTGGAGATAAAAATCACAGCATTGAGGATGGAGTGGCAGACACTCAGCGTGCCCGCCTGAGCCCTAACTAGCGCGCCCAGCCCTTCTCGCCGTTGTGCGGTACCGCCAACCCTAACTCGTATAAGCGAGTCACGTGAATCCTCACCGCCTGCCTCGGCTGCTGACCGCCTATGGCCATCTATATCATAGATATCAAGTTGAAGTGTGAATGAACCCTCTTTATCGAACGGCAATGCTTTTATAACCCTCCCAATATATCCCTGTAAAGCCATCCCGGTGTATAATCTGTACAATCTCGCCCAACATATAATACAAGCCAACTATACAATCTCGCGTCACTTACACACACACACCACCATGCCTATGGCAGCAGACTAGCAAGCTCAGTTGTTGAACACCTGCACATTGGGCATACGTCCCAGTCCAGGTCCACCAGTCTTCTTGGTCTTCGCAGCATGGAAGCCCGTGGCACTGTTATCCCGAACATGTTGACGCAGGAGTCTCAGCACATTGGAGTCGGCCCATCGTGACGGAACGGGCCGGTATGCAGCCTTGAAGGCACCAACCGTCTGCGCCCACTCGCCGCTCTTGGCTCCAGTACGCTTCCACGTCTCCGTAGGAGTATCCTGAGCGCCTGCATCAGTGGAAACAGCAGCCTCAGTCCCCTCAGCCGGAGGGTCCTGGGTGGCCCAGTAGTAAATATCCCAGTCATTCTCATCCAAGAACCGGTCATACTCCTGCAACTGCTCCTTGTTCATATCGGCCAGATAAACATCGGCGAACGTAGACAACAGGAGATCAGACTCGAGGATTCCGCGCTTGCGGCTCTGATCTATACAATCCCCGGATTTGCATCAGCTACTCATTCCACACAGAAAGACTCAGAGGGGAAGTGGACTGGGGATCACGAACACAACAACCGAGCCCTCATAGTAGTAACATCCTCGCCCTCCCGGCGCAGCGGCTCAACTTTGAAGGTAATGCCCTCCATCTCTCCAACACCAAGTTCAGGCTTCTGAGCCCCCGTCTCCTGGCGCCCTCCGGTGAAATGCTCGACTCTTCCGGGGTACGGATCCGCCGGCCGGTAATTGGGGTCGACCGAGTTCAACATCTCCGGGGGAGCCGGCTTCTCACCGACCCTGGGGAAGTCCTTGGTCATGGTGGAGGTCGTGTTAGGCACATGAGGGTTAGGGGGCTTGTTTGTCTGGTTCTTGCGATGCTCGGGGGCCGTGGATGGTGCGCGATCATTGTTGTTCACGCTGTTTTGACGAACAACCGAGCTGCCGAAGGAGCGCCGGGCAAAAGTTGTCGTAAGAGAGATTGACGAGGTTGATGGCCGCATGAAGCGGTTGATGAGTCTGGGTGCAGACATTATGATGTCGCTATGGTGATTGGCACTGACCTATAGTGGAAATGAATAGGATATTGGAGGATTGGTCGTGATATCCTGGGGGGGGTCGACGATAAAGTAAGAACCGAAGCCGAAGAATGACGGGGTTGACATCATCCGGAGAAACCTCGTTTGCATTGTTTGCAGGGCTGTTCACCAACCGTCTCCGGCGCATTTCCAACGGCGGTTGGTTTGCCCCCCTTGCTTCGCTGATGTTGCTATGACTGCAGGATGTCAGAGTCTGTGGGCTGCAATTGGCTCTCAAAGAGTGAAGTCTTATTGACTAGCATGGAATCCAGCCTGGAGTTACACAGTATCGCGTTGGCTGTCTTATTGCTAGCGGCTTCATGGTGACATACTACAGCACCTAGCGACGGTCTTTCGACTTTGGGTAGAGGTCTTCTTTCTATGTGGTTAAAAATGGCTAGAAATCTGATAATAATACCGATCACCAGCACCAATATACATGCACAGTTGTCATACTCATCAGATAATCAATCAGTGTACCGTGAAGCAAATCCCGGAGCTACATAGGGCCAGGATGATAATGAAATGCATTGAAAAAAAAGATAGTCCATATTTTGTCATGACAAGAGAGAAAGCATCAACCTGGAACCTTCTCTTTCTCACGATTCTAGATTTAAACCCACATAGTCTAGATAAGGTGCTTGGATCTACAAATCCAAACCAGTTAGCCACACCACCCATATACCAGACTAGGGGAAGCGTCATAGAGAGGAAAAGAACGTACCTGAAGTAAGCCCTCAGATACACAACCTGCCAAGCACCCAATCCAACCAGCATACCCATAGTACCGAATGCGAACCACTTCACACGCTCATTCGTGCTCTCGTTGGTGTCACGCAGCTTTTGCTCACGAGCGCGCAGGTACTCCATCTCGCTGACAATCTCGGCCACCATCTCCTCGATACGGCGGAGGTCGGTCTCGACAGGCTTGAGCTTCTCCTGGACCTGAATGCTAGACCAGTCACGGGCATCGGCACCGATGTCGACGTCGAGCTCGATGGACTTGTAGGGGTTGGCAACGGCGTCTGGTAGGTTGTCTGGTTAGCACCACATATACACACCACACAGCAAGAATATCCCTAGTATATCACAGAGACAAAATAACCAAGGTGTATAGACATACGACGAGTGGTGAGCTGGTTGTCAAAGCAAACATCGAAGGCAGTATCAGCGGGAGAAGTGAAGGCCTGGCGAGTCTCTCCGGCAATATCCTTAGGACGACCGTGGTCATTGCCCAGCGCATCCTTGATCTATTTCAGAAAGCAAAATAGTTAGCCAAGTATATCTTTTCTTTCTCAAGCGACACAATTTCAAGGTGGAATAGGACATCGGGAGACAACAAAACAGCTGGCCCGACCAGCGTGCCTCCCGCAATCACCACAGACAACAATGGGGTGAGTTCCCACATACATGCATGTTAACAACCTGACCATCACCCTTGTTTCCGCTCACAATGGCCGTGACGACCACAAGCTGGTCCTTGAAGACGAAGTTGCGTATACATCGCTCGTTCTTCCCGCTCACGGCAGAGAGGTCGAACTTCAGGGCGGAGGTGAGTTGAACGAACAAGAGGAAGAGAAGACCGAGGAAAGACCTCATTGTGAGACGGGTGGCCGCCATTGTCAATGGCAGTTGTGGCAGTGGCCGGGGGGAAGGAGACTATAATTGACAACGAGGCTCGGAAGCTGCTGTGCTGCTGCTATTGATGCCACGCCGCGCTCTGGAGCCCAGGGGATCCCGATCGTTCGGTGGAACGTTTCTCCGGATATCGGCCCACACGCCGGATCTATACAAACTACACACAGTAGATTGTCTTCGGACACCTACTTACTACTCGAATCATTATAGTGAAGGGATTAATTATCCGATTAAGTTGTTAAATTTCCTTCCTATCAACAACTTAGGCGCTTGAAAAGTCAAGTAATCTCATTCATAGGCCATAATGAAACTCTCTTCCTGAGGATACTAAGTAAATAAGAAAAGGTCCACGAAGTAGTGGAAGATAAAGGAAGAAATGTAGAGGGGGAATCAAGCGTGAGAAAGAAATACCGCTGGAAAGAGTGATACATCCAAGAGGTGCAAAGGCAGACCGCAATCCAAAAGGGAAAGAAAATAGAAGATATGAGCGAAAGAATAAAGCTCCAATATGGACAGGAAAAGGGCAAGGAAATAAAAGACAGTATCGGTCATCAGGGTTCGCCACGGCGAACAGGGCATGTCGTTTGCCTAACACATTATGATATCGTGTTCAAAGCAATGATTAGAGAGTGACAATGTAGAGAATTAGGACACAGGAAGGAGAATATAAGACGCATTCGAGGAGACACATCATGCCTCGACCTTCTTGCGGCGAATAAAGAGTCGCGAGAATCCCGAGTCCTTAGACTTGGTAGCAGCAGGAGCCTTGCTGACGGGAGGCTCAGGGGGTCCAGTGTTCTTGAGGAAATCTGCCAGTGCGCTGGTCTCGGTCTGTCGCACCGAGGGAGTCTTGAGGTCATAGGCGCCATTCATGGCTCCCGCATTGCGCTCCATGCCGACTTTGACAGTAATGTTCGAGGCGCCTCCCGTGTAGTTATCGGGCTGTTGACGCAGAGAGGTCTTGGAGGGTTTCGCGATAAGTGTCTTCTCGGATGCGGTGTTCCGACGCAGACGAGCTTTCACTGATGCTGAGCCCCGCCGAGAGTTTGCATTGGCCGCCAAAGGCTGTTGTGGCGGAGTGGGCTCTGGCGGGGGAACATTGCGCAGGAAGTCGATCAGACTCTCCTCATCACGTTTGGGCTTTGGCTCTTCAAGAAGCTCATCAAGCTCGTCGTCATCGTCCAAGTCAATAGCGTAAGGGTCCGGTACACGGCGTCGTGTCCGTGGCGGACGGTGGTCATCGGATACGCTCACAGGAGCAGCAAATGTCGTCTTCGTTTCCTTGGCCATGACAGTCGGAGTGCTTGTCCGACTAGTAGATTCCAGAAGCCCTGTGCGAGAGCCCACGGAGACCAGAGACGTCTCAGCTACCGATTGCGTGCTAGCCACGGAGGGGGCACCCTTTGTGCGGCCTGGCTCAATAGCCTGGAGCTCGTCCGAGTCCATGGTATCCCTGAAAGGCGCAACAGTACGCGGGATACGATGAGCCCCAGCCGTTGGTGGGCCTTCCCGAATGAAATCGATCAAGTCGGACGACTGATCGCCCCGGGGAACCACGGCAGAACGGGCTTCCATGCGGGGACCGCTACGGGCAGAGGCTGCAACAGAAACAGTGCTACTCGCAGGCCGGGACAGCTTCTTCGAAATCTCAGTGGCATCAGACAACCGACGCAGGCCCGACGACTTGGCGGGGCTACCATCAACCGTTGCAGGAGTGGTAGGAGTATTCGGTCCGGTGGACTTCAAAAAGTTTGCAAAATCACGGGTCGATTCCATGCTGTGCTTCGCATCCCGAGCCTGTCCGGCAGCCGGTTTCTGCTGTGGGACCATGGCGGGAATTTCGATGGATTTGGGTTTCGGCTGGATGTACTTGGGTACTGGCGGAAGGGCCACCGTGCTTTTCGATGATGCAGTTGAATGTCTCGACCGAGACATGTCATCTGGGGTCGGTTCAACGCTTTTCGGCAGGTCGGTCGGCTCAGTACCTGCTTGCTGAGCACGCCATCTAGGTGAATCCGGCAACTAATATGAGGGATTAGCAATAGCAAAAGGAGCGGAACAATGGCTGACTCACCTCCATTTCCCTCATGCTCTTGGGAGTCAAGGTGAAATGGATTGTTTCCTCGCTGCGGATCAACTCGTCCAAGCCGGACGTATCGTCGTAAGCCGACTCCCTTGTCGAGACCCTGCTGACCTCAGACGAGGTACGGAGACGAAGCGAGCCAGTATCTGCAGGGCGACCGATAAGACCTTTCAACTTGCTCGATACCTGAGAAGTCGTAGAACCTGCAGTGACAGGACGCTTCTCACGGCTGCTGCTGAAACTGCCTGAGCGACGAGACTTGGAATAGACAGAAGACGCCACTGAGGTGGATGGTCGTGCCGGCAATCGCTGGACTGCGGCGCGTTCGACGCCGGAGCCGACGGAGGCTATCCCTGGGCTCGAGCGCCCGTACTGATGCTGAACCCCGGGTACGAACGAGCCGCGTTTGCCAGGCAATGATCGCGAGGATTCCGAAATTGCGCTCTCTCCAGAAGTTGAAACAGGCCGAGATGTTTTCTCTACGGCGATGTCGTCCACAGAAGATGGAACAGTTGGAGGGGTCAAATCGTCGGGAGTAGACTGGTCACAATCAGCAGCCTTGGACGCATCCTGATCGGCGGCGACGGGTTGTGCCGGGGTGGAGTCGACGACCCCCTGCGTTTGCGGCGCGACAGGCCCAGGGGCAATTTCTACCCCAGAGGCCACTTGAGCTTTTTCGTCTGTCTCATGATTCTCAACCTCGTCGATCTCTTCCCTCTCACGGTCGGTCAGAGAAGGTGACGACACTGGGGTACTACTAGCGTCACTCGTTGCTACGACCGATGCGACCGATGTGGACGGGGTCGCGGCGGCCCCCTGTGCAGCGCTAGGAACCACCGGTTCATTTTGTTCGGCGGTCTCTGATTTAGTTGCCGCTCCACCGTGCCACTCGTCATCCTCGTCATGCTCGTACATCGTCTCCAGGCGTCTTCGCTCCTCTGATGGAGTAGGCGACGTGCGCTCGGCGGGCTGCTTAACTTCGGATGGTTGTTCATCCGTAGGAGCAGCATTGGGCAAAGACCTTGACCGAGCATGGCGCGGCGATTTGATGTTAACTAATCTTGGCGTGATAGGGGAGTTCCCGCTCGATGAGGGTGATCTTGGTGAGGGTAGCGTCAGCACCATAAGGCTGTGGGGTCGAACCTTATGGGCTACAACGGCTTGCATCGTCTGGATGTCGCTAGTGTCGAGCTCCGGGAGGAAGCCTGCGGTTTCAATCTCCTGAACATCATGCTCACTCATCGGCAGTGGGACGGATGCCGGGTCAACTTCGTCCTGGCTCTCCGGAAGCGGCTCATTCACAGACCGCGATGATGCGGTACGCGGCGAGATCTCATCGAGTGTGATCGCACTGCTCTTCCTACTGCTGGGCCCGAAAACTAAGCTCTGGCGATTCACGAGAGATTCCCTTGACACCGCTCGCGACAAGTTGTTTCCTCGCATACGCTTCCTCCAAGTCCGCCAGAGCCTTCCCAGAGTGGGGTTCAACGCCAGCCTCTCCATGTCGTGGTCTTCCACGACCAGTCGGTCCATGCTTGCGCGGTTCGCGCCCGTCTCCGTCATATCATCTTCACCCTCAAGGTTTGCTGATAATCTAGACCGAGCTATCTCGCCCGCAATGATTAGGGCTTGCTCACCCATGTGTTCAATGATGGAGGTAAGAAAGATTGAGGCAGCAGGCGTGATGTGACCGACATGGCTGGCGAGCCTGTGGAGGCCGCCTCCATCTTCGCCTATGATTTCCTGGTTGATGTATTCCTCTTCATCATCTTCTTCCATGTCTCCCAGCCGCGTGTAGACCATACACCGCAGACGGGTCAGCTTCCAGGAACGCACAAGGTCGAATTCGCCAATCGAGGTTTGGCCGCTACGGGATTCCAGCTGCTCGTCTTCCGGTCCGCCCAGATATTCACTTAACTCGTCATCAGCTGCCGACACCATCTCCTTGGCGAGTCGAGGCTTTAACACTTCGGCGACGGCGGGACGAATCTTGACCAATTGAGTGGACTTGGCCGCGGCCAGGATGTTGAAGAGAATGTTGTCGAGGAATGCATTGAGAGAAGAGAGGGCTTCACGAGTGACAAGCGCACTCGCACTGGACTCATGGCCTTCATCGTCGGCCACAAAGTCGGCGGCGTTGAACTCTTGGTCCGCAGTAATTATTTGAGCGGCCGCAGACGAGGCGATATACGAGGGCGCGGGGATCACTGGTGGGGGAGCGAGAAAATGGGAACGGGAGAGCTGTGAGTCGCTGGACATGCTGGTGCTGCGCGAACGCGAGATCGTCCGTCCCAGCTCGTGAAACTCGAGTCCTTTGGTGTGCTGCATGGTTGAACCACTGGGTCATATACCGACCCCGACAGCGCGCAAAGGGTGGTATGTATTAAGAAGTAGGATAGAAAGTGAACGACTCGGGGTAAAATGTCGAGGGTCAAAGAGAATGGCCAGAAAGAATAGGGAAAGCACGCTAGATCATCCTAAAAGTCATAAGGCATAAGCATATCTTCGTCAGCTTTTCCAACAATACGACCTCCGATGCACAGCCTAGTTTGGGGGCCATTTGCTTGATTCGCCTTTGCGCAGTCTGCCTTCTGAACGGATGTCGTAAGATGGCGTTGGACCATCCCAGACTATCAAAAGCCAAAACAGGGAGGATGACTGGGGGAGGGGCGCAATGAGCAGCGAAAGGGCGAAGAAAAACAAAGAAGGACCGAAGCAAAGCGAGGAAGAGAAAAAAGAAAAAGAAAATGTACAGAGTACCCAACGGGATGGATGCAGGGTAGGATAGTGTCGCGACTAAGTAGAACGTACCCGGAGAAAGGAACCAATTAACAGTACGTCGGGGTCATGTTCGATAAGGAAGACGCGGAAAGGGATCTGAAGGAAATCGATTCCGAGAGATCAATAAAGAACTGGACGGAGAAGAAAACTCATCGAAGAGTTCTATAGCAGAGGGAAGGAGGAGAAAAGGAGAGAGAGTGTGTGTGTGTGTGAGTAAGAAAGAAAGAAGGAGAGTAAGTGAAAGAAAGAAAGAAAGGGAAGTAGAGGAAGAAAGGAAGATTTGGAGTAGTTGATGGTAATTTCAGGAGTAACAGACAGAAGAAGATCCCGTTGCAATGAGAGTTGTGTTGCTCTCTGTGTTTCTTGTCTGTCTGTCCGTCTTGTCTCTTCTCTACTGCTAAACTAGGCTCTAGCTCCCCATTCAGACCCGAGGAATGAAATATTTAGTGACTTAGAACTGTTTAGTATTACTGACTATTACAATTACAGACTAAACTGGGCGACTTGGTACCACTTTAGTCTCTTTTTACTCGAAGCAAAACCAGGAGAGGTGGAGCCCACCCTTTTCCCCCCCCGGCGGAAGAAGAGAAGCAAGAGGCAAATGAGGGTCGAGGGGAGAGTGGAGCAGGGGGGAGAGGAGAAGAGAGAGGTTGATGGAGGCGACGGTCGCTGTGAACGGTGAAGGCTAACTTGGGATTATCAAATTTGCGCGATGGAAAGTCTTATCCGCTCTTCTGAAGCGGATGGGCTGGCAATCATCTCCGGATTCCTTGCAAGGTTGTACCAGTTGTTACCTTAGTACAAAAGTATGTTGTAGGATGGTGTCTTGTCTTCAAAGTATCTATCTAGTATCTACGTATCTACTGGACCAAATGGAAATGATTTGATTTGACTTTGGACGGCATTAGACTCAGCACGAGTCGGATGTCTCCAGGCACGAGCGGGTTGCCGATCTTGCCACTCGGAGGGTGAATGCTGTGCGTGTGTGTCATACAACAACGTGGTACTACTATTGGGACCTTTCGGCCGCCATGAACCACGCATTTCCTTTCAGCAACTGGGAAGCGTTGCTCTAAGAAGTAGTTCAACAGCCTTGATGGTATAGTACCTTGGTTGGATGAGCAATAGTAACAACCGTGACTTGAGACCGTTGGAAGAAGCCCTTGGGACCTTGTTTTTTTTCCTTTTTTTCCAGAGAAGCAGCGAAGGAAAAGGCAGCGAAGCCCCCAAGAAAGACGACGATCTCCAGAACCAAACTAACTAACGAATGCGACCCACTCAGCCTTCGAAACAAAACCCTAAAACCGTCCGACTGCAGGAAAGGGGCGCTACTGTACGTCTGTAACCGCTTAACCGACCCGTGTTGGTCTGCTTGGCCGCTCCGCCTCGAGGTTTCTCTCATCTTAGGCGAAGTTGTACGTCACTAGTAATCCTCTGAATATTTGAATGAAAATGGAAGGTGTCTGGGACGATGATCCGTCATGTTCCTGGACGAATTTCCTGGGTCTTCTCCCATCCCCTCTTCTACCCTCTCTGCCTAAAGAATGGTCACAAAGAGATATGCCACGGTTGAGCACGTCTATTGGTCGTACCAGGTTTCGGTATCTCATATCCTTCCCGAAAATATCCAGACCCATCCAACACAAGGTCAAACTCTGATTTTCGACTATTAAATCCAATCAATACCCCTGGGCCGAAGCGGAAGGCGGCCGTGCCCAGGGCCAATAGACATGGGGTCCACTCCCATCACCACGGGCACTCTCCTCCCCCTCTGCCTCTCTCACTCCCCTTTTGAGTCTCTGAAAAAATTCGAGGTGCGATGGTGCCTTTTCTGAGCAATTACGCAATGAGGCTCGAAAAAAGGGCCCCGTTTCTTTCCAGAAATGCTAGGGATTCCTGTCAATCTGCCTTGCACCCGTCACAGAATCTCACAAGCAAAAGGGATTATGACCGAGATGAGGTCGAAAATATCAAGATGGGGATCCTTTCGAACGGGACTGACAAGGTAGATCATCGGTGGGTAGTAACGACCATAATGCATGAGCGTGCTGCATGACTCTCCAGCACACACACACGCAATTTCTCCATATCTACCCCATACGCTACTGAATTGCTATATGAGGCTAAAGGACGCCCTGACAAATCTTATATGACTATTCGGGACCACAAAATCCTCCGACCTTCCTTCTCAGTATTAAGCTGCTGGGAAGCACAGGGCAAATCCCTGCTTGATGTGCCGTCCCCAAAGTTACTATGGAGTGAGTAGTCTATCTTCTTGCTATTTATTCCTGACCCCTGCAATAATCCGGGTGCGCAGTTAGGTACTAGATACTAGTTAGGTAAGAAGCCAAAGATTTGAAATACCATTACAGGCACACACCCACACAACCCCCCACCATCACGCGATCGAACAACCATACATACAGCATCGTTGGACAATGGACATATCCCAAAAATCTCCTCTCCGTGCCTTCCCAGTGGACCGATCCCAGTACCCAGTCATGCTCAGTCATGACCAATGGACAGACAGTGACCTCCGTAGTTCTCGCATTCCGTGGTTCGGACGGCCCTCGATGAAGCCGTTCCGGGTAAGTCCTCGGATAGTTAATCGGGTACACCAGGGAGCTCTGGCCTATGATTGGTTTCCGACTACAGATTTTAATCTATCTCGGATATGGTTGCTATACCCACTTTGTCTCTCTCTCTCTCTCTCTCTCTCTCTCTCTCTCTCTCAGCTGAGTCCGTTCAGGTCCCAAGTTCAGCTCAGCCCAGTTGGGTCTAGTTAGATGGGGAAATATCCACGTAAAAGCTCCAGCTGAGACCACACTGCATGACTCAAGCAGTGGCTATATTAAGCGACGGGGAGACCGATAGTAGATGGGAAGTCCCAATAGGCTGGAGATGCACGGTAGGTGCATACTCAGTCTATCTATCCATCCATCATTAAGATTATTCTAGGTAGTGCACATATCCTCCTAGGGACCATTGATCAAAAGGAATAATAATCTAAAGTAGTGGGGGGTCAGCTGTCATTCCGGAGCCAAGGACATGGGACGCACTGGGAAGATGCAAATCTCGAAGAGTTCTAGACCTCGAGTAATCTATGATGAATTCAGCTGTTGTATTTACCATATTCTTTTCAACTGCGTCTAGATCACGCCTCTATCTAACATAAGAATATCATCCTGAATCTAGACTAGGATACACTTCTCATAGGAGATATCCGACCCTGGCACCTTCAACTTGGCAGCAACAGCAACAACAGCAGCAGCGACAGCGGCAACATGATCCCAATCGCACCAACCACACCACAGCATCACCTCCTCTAATGCCATGCATCCTAGCGCAGCGGGAGTGGCTTGTCAATAGTCAGAGCACTATTATTCAGCTAGACTAACCCCCCATGGCCCATAGTTAATCACAGAATGAGATCAATACTGCTTGCTGCCCAATGAACCCAACTATTGACATTAAGAGACATCTCCAGCTAATATGATCTCCACTACTATCTACCTAAGATCATCACGATCTAGACCTATAGATAACCATAACTGGCTGCTATTTACACAAATCACGTTCCCATGTAGTACTACTTATGCAGGTGGCCTAGGATACAAACTAGCTAGTAACTAACCCCGCAATCACTCACTCACGCACCAGATAGCCCGCACATGTTCTTGTGTAGCGTTCAAGGATATACAGTTCTGGTACGTGTGACGGTGCAATTGATGGGTGAGCTGAGTAGAGTTTCTGCTTCTGCTTCTGTTTCTGGTTCCACAAAAAACCGAGATATACTCCGATATAGCTGACTGACCGGGAGACTGACTAACGGGCCGTCGCTACAATGATAGTCATTGCCCTACTAAGTATTAAGGTAAGTACTCACCAAATTAGTTAATAAGGGCCCATGTACGCAACATCAACACATGTGAACCATCCAATCCCGATAAACACCCGGCGTCGGGGCACAGTCACACAGCCCAGCCCAGTCCATTCGCCACGATGGGCAAGGGAATCCCAGCTAGCAGCATCATCATCATCATCATCATCATCCACTGCAGGGATAAAGGGCCGATCAGTAAATCGATCGATCGATCGCAAGTGCGAGTATGTGTGTGTGTCATACCCTGGCGCAGCCTGCATGTACACAACACAGCAAGTACATAGAACGAGGCATCTGTACACCATCATCACAAAGTCAAAAGAGACTCAAAGTCCGAACCCCGACCGATCAGCCAAAGTAGACGGAATACTACTACTACTAATACTCCTACAACAGTAGATGACATGCATATAGCCCCCCATCTAATGCCAGCCAAAATGACATGTACTGTAAGTGCTGTGCTCCACACCACCAATATGTAAGTAATACAAATACTTAGCGAACAACCAACAATGAATCAACAATAGAACACACACACAAAGGAAATACACTAGACTGTATTTAGCAATAGAAACAACACGGCAGCATTTCCAATCAACTCATCAATCACACTTTCATTAGAATCATACGATCTAACTGGCTCGGTGGAGGCGATGGTGGCTTCGGTAACTAAGATGTTACTAAGAAGTTAGTTACTAGTTGCTTGCATAGTGGACAAGTAGACTAGTAAGTAGTGTAGTTGATTTGAATTATTCTGGTGTAGGCGAATTCCGCTCTTTTCCGTTCATAAGGCCGGCTCCTTCATTTACCCTAGGTAGCTAAGTAATTTAATGGGTTAGTTTCTGCCTGTTAGATCTGATTGTGACGTGGCTGGCTGGCTGGCTTAGCACACTCGGTTATTATTCGTTATGTCATGTTGTCTGCGGCGACCTGGTAGTTAGTTAGTGTTAGTTACTAACTAGTTAAGTAAGGTAGTTACTGATCGGATCGGATCTGACATCAGCTTTGATCTGTTGTTGGAGTCATTAGTTAACATTCCTTCCAGCGAAGTAACTGAAAAATTGTGACCTAAGCCATGGTTAGCGTAAGCAAGGTTGCGGACTCGGAGGTAACTGGCCATGTCATAATACCGATGTAAGTAGTAAGTAGTACCCCTGTAGGTATTGTTTGGCCCCCAAGCGATCGGTTTCACAGCAGAACCGGGTATCATACCTCAAGCCTCGCTCGTTTCAGGTCAGGTGGATTTTCCACAATCCCAAATTTAGGCACTTACTATGACAATGTGTGTTACAGCTGGACGGGCTGTGCCTTGCTTGACGGACTCAGCTTGTTTCAAGACTGACAGGGAAGGTTTGTTTTATAGCATCATCTGAGCGTATGCTTGACACTTCTATGTTTCGAGTACTGTTCGATAATGAGACAGTATTCTCTAATGGCCCGGGTCGTGTCTATTGCCTTCTTGGGCTGGTAGGGATTCTCGATGACCTTTGATATGTAGAAGGAAATGGCACTTTTATTTCAATGTCATGCTATTGATAATATTATCAAGACTATTGAACCCCGCTCATGAGCTTTTGGTAGAAATCGGTTGTGCTGTGCAATGGCACACCGTAAAAGAAAAATGTCAAGCAAAAATCAATTCCTGGGCTAGTTCCAGTTTGCAAATTCTTTTCATCCGTCATGTCATCATTTCTGTATGATCTTTGACTCTAGTGGACCAAAAAGCCATTCCAATTTTCCAGTGCATACGCAACACCGCTGGTGAAGAAGCTTAGCTCGTCTGGCCCTACGTTGGTGTCACACGCTAGTCTTTCGGAGAGTAGATTCTCGATCTTGGCCAGCAAGTCCTTGTTGTGACTTCTACCGGCTCTCGAGGGACGGTCAGAGGCGCCTTCTTCGTTAACGAGGTTGGCAAGTTCTCCAAAGTCCTCCTTGGCAACTATGTTGCGGAAAAGCCCAATGACGTGGTTCAGCACATTGTCAAAATAGGTACCGCTGGCACTATCCAGGTCCAAGTACGGGGAGTCCAGACGACCGATGTAGAAGTCATTGGCCTGTTTGCGAAGGCGGGCTTTGTATTCGAGATCGCGAATCCCATTGATGCCATTCATGTAGGCAAGAAACAGCCTCTTGTCCAGATCGACGATGTCGCTGGTGTGCTCTTCAGGCAGCTGCTTGATCGACTCGAGCGTACTGCTGAGTTCGTCATCCTCGATGTCGTTGACGTCCAGCTCGTCAACTGACTCCTTGAACCGGAGCGTGCCAGATGCCAGTGCACGTTCCATTAGCTCGTGGCCAGTCAGCTCTGCTTCAGAGTCTTCATTGTCGTCCGGCGAATCTGGAGCATCAATATAGCGTATGTTCGTGTCAAATCGAACCATGGGTCCAAAAGAGATGAAAGATCCATCCAGGGATTCGGCATCGTCTTCGTCACATGAGTCTGACATTATATCAGACGCGTCGTCCCACCCGGAGACATGGTACATATCATCATCGTCATCACTGTCTTCGAATATCGCATCATAGTCGTATTCCGAGTTTTCCGATGCATAGCCCGACTCTGATTCCTCATCTTCTTCGATTTCGGAATACGGTCTTTTCAAGATGGGCTTCAAGAAGGAACCAAGAGACGGTTCGGTTGCAGTCACCGGGCCTGATACACCAGAGGTGTTCGAGGTGGTTTGCTTGGTCGACACGACAGAGACTTCGTCCGAGGCATAGCAACTGTCATGAGAGATCGATACTTCAAGTTGAGAAAACGTTGAAGAGAGAGACTCCCATGACTTTTTGTTCATGGTTTGAGGGCTCATTTTGGTAGAGGCCTTTTGCAGAATGATCTGGTCAACAAAGAATGCCAACAGCGGCAATGACCAAGAAGTCCCAAAGCAAACTTGACAAAAGTTTTCCCACTCGCACTTGTAGCGACTGGGATGAAGAGAGGTCAATTGCTTTTGGCAAGGGAAGAAGAGTGGAGATTTTTGATTTCAGTAAGTGGCTTCGAAGGCCTCCAAATGGTTTGAAGGAATCCATGGTGAAGCACAGGCGCAAAGGTAGTAGCCGCCTAGTGAGAGCCGAGAAGGCCCTTGACCAGAATAACCTCGCAAAACATTATGGATATCTGTAAATTCACTTCAAGTTGGGGGATTGTTTTGAGTCAAGACGCATGCGCGTTTGGTTGTTGGAAAGGTTCTTGGCCGAGATATACGGTTTAAGCCCTTTCTTTCCCTTGAAAACACGTTCGATTTCGATGGAGTGTCTGACGTGATACATATAGACTGCTGGGTCGTTTGTGAACTCGGTTGTTGAGTTGAATGAGAATGCGCAGTACTTGATGCTAGACAAATACCGCGACGCGTTGAGTAGTGCTTAGGCAGTATCCGTCAAGTCTGCGTGAGGATGACGGCGTTATGGGCTCTGTTCGGAACTTGGCTGGGTGCTTTGTTCGTAAAGAGGGGCAATAACCGATGGCCGATGCCCTGGCGCTATAATGTCATGCCCACTTTTCGTGGGGATACGAGTGGTGCAACGGGAGGGGACGAGGGGTAAAGAACAAAAATTCGTTGAGAGACAGTCCCTCAAAGGAAGTTCGAGTATGATAAGACTCGACGACTGTCCGCCGAGAAGTGTCTAGAATGGATGAGAAATAGCACAGTAACCAGTGCTGGGGTGGAAGAAAGGGATGGGAACAAGGCGAACCTCGCGGGTGTCAGTCAGATTTCCGTCATCACCACATGACCTTGGCCTTGTTGCCTCCCTTTCCTTTCCTTTCCTTTCCGGCGCTGCCATCGGGCCGATTGCGGAATGCTCAATTGGGTCTAGCTGTTGCGGCTGAGTCTCGCTATTTCCTCCAATCAACGCTCGTTGCTGCTCGGCTCGGAGTCGCGAGTAATTCCGTCCCGGAGTCTCTACGTGCCGCCGGTGAGTGTTTCTCATCATGGGTGTGGGCTGCTGTGTACTCTGGAGGTAGCATTGATTGTCGACATTATCACTGCTGGAGCTGGCTTCTTCGCTTAGATTCTCTCCATGCTCCTGGGTTCTAATCCATATCTGGCCTTTTTCTCCACTCCAATTTCGGGCTGATGTTTTACTTTTCTTTGAAAGAGAATCAGTCCTTGTCGAGAGGACAGCGGCACATTGACTTCCCAAAAAGGAAATACGCGGCACTACCACTTGCCTTTGCTACAATGCCCATCATCTTCGTCCGACTTTTACAGTCGAGCAGGACTTACATTCGATGCAGAGAATCTATATTCCATACTTAGCATTAATCCATCCTTGGCTGTCTATGTTTAGGTTTTGGTATGCTTAATGCACTAAAAGAAGCTGGCCCTAGAAATTCTTCTGGGTGGCTTGCTCGACTCACTGTACCGCCAGAACGACGGTTTCGGCGGACCCCTGATAAGACACCTTCCAAAACACCACTTGCCTCCATCGTCTCTCGGAAGAGTGTGACCTTGTTCCGATCGCCTGTGCTTCGTAAGCCTAAGTATTACGAACCCCAGCTCCACCAGATGCTGAGGAATCTGGACAAAGAAAGGGCAACTTGGCCAGGGAAATGAGACGGCCTCGCTTCTGAGACGATCTTATGCTGTACTAAACTCTCCCCAGGCTGGCGAATCAGGCTGTCTATCTTGAGACAAGGAACAAAGAACTCGCGATGAAACATCACACTTAGAGTTCCGAGCCCTCGCAAAGCCGAATTCTACGATACGGACCGCTTATTCTTCAGCGTAGTCCAAGGCCAATGGGTACGGAGCTCAGCACACTCACAGAAGGTGTAGGCCAGAGCTGAATGCGAAAGCTACGCCCTCCCTCCTTCGCCAGAACTTCACCCGTAATGGGGTGATAAGAATAGAAACTCGTCTTAAACGACGAGTTAATCTACAGATCTAAAGAAGAGAATTTTCTTTCTTTTTTGGAGCTAATGCTTAATGCAAAAAGCATACAGGAAGGGCTTTGATCCAGAATGCCAAATCCTTCTGTCCACGCATTGTTACGGGGGGTGTGCATTCTTCCCAGGCCCAGCATTCCAATGTTCAGGCCAACCAGCTCACCAACGGTAGCTCATTGAGTACCCGAAGATCATTAGCTCCACCATGCGGGAAGAGCGTGGAGCAAAGGTTCGGTCGGGGTAATTTAGTGCAAATCATTGAGGCTGCTATCCTACGTATACGACTCAGGATGAGCCAAAGCAACCCAATGACGCTTACACTCCAGGTGTCAGTCAGCCCGTTGAGCCCCCTCTCCACGTCGTCCCTTGACGCGTTGAGCCGTCGAAGCCGGTCGACCTCCATTGTGACACTCATAGTTCGATCCAGCCTCGACATCGATTATCAAACAATGGCGAGGTTGGTGTCATTGGCTCAGCGCTCGCTGGTTCCTCTAAGACCCGCCCATATCCGCCCTGCTGATACCTCTGCACCCTGTTTCTGGCATAGTAAAGGTTGCATTCCCGCGGGTGGCCATCAGTGCTCCGAGCCCACTGGGTGAAGGGTGTCTGGCAGTGGATGGCACGAATCAGCCACCGACTTTGCACTCCTCCTGATTGGCGACAATGGCTCGTGGGAAAGGCATGGGCCGTTCTGCTCGAGCAATTGGGATGGGGTGGGCCATATCGAGGGGCTGCGTATTCCTTGATGGCACATTCCCTGCCTATCTTGCCCTTGTTGAGAGCTCTTGGAATGTGCACAGAATCCAGCAGAGAATCCAGAGGCTGGGGCCCATCGTAGCAATTCAAATAGGAGCCCTCTGTCTGTTGTTTGTTTGCTTTGTCTACTTTGCATTTTCTGCACTGTTTTCTTCGATTGTCAACTCGTCAAACTGTTCCAACACTGCCATTGCATTCCATCATTACTTCGAGCCATCGTCATCACCGCGGCCATTTTGGACGGATACTCGGCTAAGCTAGCCGTCCCTTACTTTGCGTCAAGCTTTCCTCTGCATCAAGCTTCTGTGCTTCCGCGGCCTTCGTCGCCAGTCACATCTACTCGGCCCAAGTGTTCGTTGGGTCGACCTTAGACAGCTCCTCTGGTCGTCGCCGCAAACGGAAAGCGGCACCCCGTCTGGCACAATGTTCGCCCAGCAGTTCGACCATTCCTTGAATGATTTAGATTTATTTAATCAGTACGTCAATATGGACAACTCCAGTGTGGATGGCAACAAAGATGTTTCATTCCCTGGCGATCTTGACCAAATATTTCAGCTTGAGTCATTGTCCAGCGACTGTGGCGAGCACTCTCCGGCCATCTCCACATCAACAGCGCAACCCCATCAGCAAACAGCCCAAAATTGGAGCAAAGACTTCTGGTGTTTGTCCCAGAACGCGGACTCTTCTACCAGCCAAGGCCAAAATTTCTCTCTACAGGACACTGTTCACCCATCTGCCGTTTCTGAGCTTGGTGTCAACTTTGAAGCTCCGCCGACAGCGTGCGCTCCGGAAACCCGCCCTTCTCCGTCGACTCCCCCAGCAACTCCTAGTCGTAAGACCACCAAGAGTGCTGTAACTACGCCCAAGGTGATCCGTCGTCATCGCGAACCTAATGATCGTCGTGGTCCGCTGCACAAGCAGAGCTTCTCTCCTGGCATAACACGCTCCTCTCAACCTCAACGGAACAGAATGGCGTATCAAGAAGCCTGGGCGCAGCGATTCAACAACTTCAGCTTTCGCAGCTCGGATGAACGCCTGCCTCTGTCCCCACCACCTTCCGATATCCTCGTTCAACAGGAGAATATGGCAGCAGACAACTCTGCTGCCCACTTGAACCGCACCGAATCACTACCCAAGGCATCGGCTGAAATGCCTCCCCAATATGACACCGGCATCTTCAACCAATCGCCGGCTATCTCCATGCCTTCTCCATCAACAGCTGCGCTAGCGGGGCAGCCCCCGAGATATTTAAGCCAGTCCAGCGGCTCGGGGTTGCCCACCTCAAGCCCCCCGTCGGCTGACGACATCTTCTCCTCCCCACATTCTTCAGGCCCTCAGTCCATGTCTTCCTGGCATTCCGACTCTCTTGGCTCTTCTGGGATTCCGTACAGCACCCCCGACCTGAGTGGACAAGATGGCCAAGCCTGGTGGTCGCCAATGGCTTCGAGAGTCCCACAGCGACAGCCTTCGTATCAGCAGATGGTGGCGTCCCCAGCTGCACAGAGACCGATCCAGAACTCTGCAAGTCAGAGTGACATGCTGCAAGGGGGCCTTATGATTCAACTGGACCCGTCGTCATACGATCTTTCTAACACACATTCGTCATTCCCCTCGGCCGGCCTGCCTTCCGCTCCAAATGGTCATGAGAGCCGCGCCTACATGCAGCCCACTGCAGCACCAGTGGATTCATCGTCATTCGTCACCCCTCAGATTCCCCCTTCCCATTCACGCTCTCCATCGCTGTCTCCGGGCTCAGGCTCACCAAAGAGTGGAAGCATGATGCACAATGGCCACCGGAGGTCATTTCAGCGCCAGAGTATGAACCGAAAGCTTTCCTCCAATTCTATGAGCGCACCCAAACCAGTCAAGGCCCCCCACAGTTCATCGGGGAGTCCAAAGGGAGGCAACAAGGCCGTCACCGTATCCTTCGTGAATTTCACACAAAATGATTCCAAGAGGATCCTCACCGGTGTCGCACCCAGTGGCAGCTCCAAGACTAAGGCACGACGTGAGCAAGAAGCCCGCGCTCGACGCCGCGAAATCAGCGAAGCTGCCTTGCAAGCCGTCCGGAGTGCCGGAGGAGATGTTGAAGCTCTGGAGGCAATACTATGCTAATATCATATGTAATAGTAATACTCACATGTCGATCCAGTACATCGCTCGTTTGCCAGTATCCGTTTATTCGTCGTCATTTGTGTTCTGCGGCTAGCCAGTTTTTTGAATATTCGTTATACCATTCCAGAGTCTGTTGTTATTATTCTTTCATTTTCTTGTTTGTTTCATTTCTCGATACAAGGCAACGGTCGTTTGGGTGTTCGTCTGATCATCACTTTTTTCTTTTTGAGCCGAGGATTTGGAGTTTGATTTCATCAAAAGCGTTAGATTGGCGGGCATTCAGGTTCCATCAACCTCATACTAGTTGGATATAATATATACCACTAATATTGCATTCTTGAAAATTGTGTTTGCACAGAAGCGAGTGATCTGTATACATGCAGCTAGGTGGCGACACAAAAGAAATCAAGCACCATGCTTTTTGACATACCTGTACATTCTATCAAATTGGCCTGATCAATATTCGCCTAACGGCGACCTGGTAGAAAATTCCGATGAAAATAATGTACATAGTATCATTCATAATACAGTAATATTTCGTAATATACAAGATTTGGGGGTCCTTTAAGCCAAAGCTCCAGATGGCCAAGTACGATGTGAGACATCCCAACCCGTCACTGATCCCCAGAAAAATGTGATGTCTCTTATCGAGAGATACTGTTTCGCAACTGTCTGTAATGTTGCTCCAACGACACTAACGTAACACAGCCAATCAGCTTCTCTCTCCGTATGTCTGGCGTGTTCCGCATTTCGGGAACGGATGGCAACCTGGCAAGGCAACCCCAGATATGCCTATTTTAGAGGTGACGAGTCTGACATATGTGTTTCAGATTGAAGCGAGAGACTGGAGGCCCAAGTACGGAGTAGTCAAGCCAAGCTGCATTTCTCCACCTCCTTCCCTCCAGACACCTCGCTCACTCATCTCTTCGACGCAGTCGGGCTCCACGAATCAGGCTGCCACTTCTGACCCGGAGCGCCTGCCGTCGCCTTCGCCCAGGGGTCATTCTTCTTCGCAGCCTCCGCGGTTGCCGTCTGCGTATCCTCCGAAGGGCTCTTGTTTGCTTGGGCTACTGTCGCATCACTCGTGTTGGTGGCGGGGAGCGGTTGTTGTTGGGATTTGGGCATATCCAGATATGATGGTTTGCTGGCCCAGCGCTCATCGGCCAGACGGGCTAATTCCTTGATTTGCATTTGTCGGATGATGTCTTGTTGTTGTTCTTGGATGGACGGGGGGTCTGCGCGGACGTAACGGAGCCATTGGTGCCATTGTGCTGTAGTTATTGGGGTAACGGTGTTAGCTGCTGCTGTTGGGGATACGCTATGAGAGACCTGAAGGTGCCACTTACGGCTCACTTGGACATCGGCGAGGTGGGTTTTGGGATCGGTCTTGACGATGCGGCGGAAGCGACCGGCGTTGAGTTGGTCCTTAAATTCCCAGAAGGTGTTTCCGTGTAGGTCGGTGCCTGAGGAAGAGGTGTTAGGAGGGTTTCTGGGGAGCTATAGATTGAGGATGGCAGATGAGCCTACCGACGAGGAACGACCTGCGCCAGGGTAGGCGAAGGCCCTTCCACTTGAACCAGAGACTGTTGATCGGACTCATTGGGGTACCGGAGGGAGGATGGTGGTCGATCGAAGGCTATGCGATCTAGGTTGAGGCGGTGCAGTGGTGGTGGAGTGGCGCGGAGAGAGAGGAAGATGATGTTCCGATTATCGAAATGATGAAGCCGAGATGAATTGAAGCGGCGATGATTGGGCGGTCATGGACACCCGAAAGCTCAGGCATACGGGACGTCATCGGTAAGATGGGGCGGTCACGGGGCGTCAAATACGGTATTGTTCTGGGCGTTTCTTTTCTATTTCGGGCTTCGAGTGTTCGATTTCCATTCCACGCCGCATTCCGTTCGCCCTCCAACTTTTGGCTTCGTTGCTTTTGTTTTGTCTCTGCCTCTTCGGTTATTCTGCTGCATTGATCCCTCATAATCCCCCGGTGATCTGTCTTCTTCATCCCTTCCTCTGCTCTTCATCTAGACCCTGAATTGATCTTCCGATTCATCCGCCCTCACATAAGCCTCCACCCCCCTCCTGAACCCCTGTGACGTACTGCCGGTTCGTCCCACCGGAAAGCCACTATAAACACCCACTCCCCCTTATTCTTTTTCGTATATTTTTGCGCCCAAGCTGCCTAACGGTCCTTTAAATTCGTCTGCATGTCCCAGACGCTCTGATTGAGACGGTTCGAACTTTAAGATGGCCTCCGTCACCTCGCTTGACAAGGACTTGCGCAGTCTGCGCTTGTCCCGCTATACCCCGCAGGCAGCCGCGGAAGTCCGCGACTGGATCGAGGAAGTGTTACACGAAAAGCTCCCGCCAGGAGATCTCCTGGATGCTTTGAAAGATGGCGTTGCACTCTGCAGGTGAGGATACTACGAACTTCCCTCAAAGAGCGGCCATTCAAGAACACTAACAATATTGCAGGCTGGTCAACTTGGCCGTCTCCCCCGGCGTCAAGTACAAGCAGTCCTCGATGCCCTTCGTGCAAATGGAGAACATCTCTCACTTCCTTCGCGCATGTCAAATGCAGCCCATCAGCCTCCCTCCGCACGATGTCTTCCTGACAGTCGATCTCTACGAAGCCAAGGACCCCGCACAAGTCCTACAATGTCTTACGTCTTTCAGTCGTCGGGCCAATGCTCTCCAGCCTAGCAAGTTTCCTCGCGCACTCGGTCCTCAAAGCAAGGCAGCCACTCTGAGCCCGCATGCCACCGGTTCCAGTCAAGGCGCTTATACCCCCACCAAGTCGAGTGTTTCCGGTCACTCCAGCCCGGCAAGATCCCCGAAGCCAGTCAGCAGCTGGAGCAAGAAGTCTGATGAGTTTGTCACGGCCCCCGCCTGGAATATTCACCAGTACGGTTATATGGGTGGTGCAAACCAGGGTAGCATGGGCGTTGCCTTTGGTGCACGTCGGCAGATCACCACCGCTGCCCCGCGTGTCCCCAGCTTGGCGGAGAAAGAAAAGCGGAGAAAGGAGGAAGAAGAACGGCAAGTTTTGGAAAAGCAGGAAGCAGAGCGCCAGCGCCAGCAGGAGCGCGAAGCGGAAGAGGAGCGTGCTCGCATCGAGGAAGAGCGCCGCTGGGAGGAGGAAACCAACCGTCTGAGGGAGCAAGAGCGGCGTCAAGTCGAGGAGGAGCGCAAGCGTTGGGACGCGCAACAGCGCAAATGGGAAGAAGAGGAACGGCAACGCCTGCGTGAAGAAAAAGAAACGGAAGATAGGCTAGAACGCGAGCGACTTCAACGACGAGAGGCGCAAGACAGCCGTCTCAACGGACAGTTCCTCAGCCAGTACCAAGCCAGTCTACCAGCAGCATCTCCCGTTCCCCCAGTCTCCAGCGAGAACCGCGAGAGACAACGAATTCGCGAGCTCGAGCGCGAGCTAGAACGCGCCAAGGAGAGAGAACGCCAATACGAGCGTGAACGTCAAGACATCCAAGAACGGGCCACCAAATCGCCGCCTCGCAGTCCCCGGCCAGCCCAGCCCAGCTACGACCTATCTTCCCTCGAGCAAGAGCGTCGCATGCTACGCACCGAATGGCAAAAGCACCACGACGAGCCACTCACAGAATCAGACATCCCCCCAAGCATGCCTCCGCGACCCCTCCCAGAGCCCGTCATCTCCGCCGAGGACAAACCATCCACGCCCCCTCGCCCCTTGCCCGACCCCACCGGAGCGAAGCCCCCTATGCCTCCAAGACCCCTCCCCGATCCCACAAGCTACACCCCTCCATCCCAAAGCCCCTACACACAAGAGAGCCGGGTCGACCGATTCCTCGCTTCCAACCGACCCCCTGTTGCCCCGAAGCCCGCCGCCCACCGGCCCCAAGACTACACCACCACAGCGGAAGTAGACGCCGAGAATAGCCGTCGCGCCGCCGCTCAAGAGAAGACCAAGGCCGGTGGCTGGGCTTCCAAGTCCCTTCTGGAACGCGAGATGGAGCGCGAACGGGAGCGTCAGCGCGAGTGGGAGGAAAACCAGCGCCAGACACAGGAGGCAGCAGCTAGGGCTGGGTCTTCTATTGCGGGCGCTAAGCGGCAGATTATTGGGCCGAGGCCACCTCCGTAAATATGAAGTGGAGTGTGCCCTTTTCATAGTTCGCCTTTTTATCACCCCCTTTATCTATTTTGTGTCTGCCTGTCTGGTTTTAGTTTGTCTCCCCTGTGTTGTGGATATACCCTTTTCTTTTGCCTCCTTTTTTATCCCCCTCGCACCGCTTGGTGCGGTGGTGTGTGCAACTGCGAGGTTTGCTTGGTTTGCGTGGTCTAAAATATATTTCTGTTCGGTAAAAGAAAAAATCAAATCAAAAGATTCGAATTTACATGTAAATAAGTAAATAAGTAGTTTTCAGGTGAAATCCGATAGACATTTCAAAGTTCAGAGTCACTTTGATGTCAGTTCCAACTAAAAAGGGTATTTGTACTATCTATACATTAAGGAAATATAGCCGAAAGCCTGTTTCAAAGACAGTATGAGAGTCGACGAGCGAAACAAAAGTTATACCGAACCAGAGAAAGAAAAAAAAAAAAAAAAAAACATGACGCGCTTGCCTTTAATTCGCTCACTTCAATCACACACGCATGCAAATAGAATAAAAAAGAAGAAGAAGAAGAAGAAGAGACATTTCAATACCTCAAGCATCATGCAGTAGTGGCATCACCCTCGAACGGCAGAATACAAAGCACGAGAAATTGCAACCGCTCCGCACTCTCCTCCAACCACGCACGCTCAATATCATCCGCCCACCTGTAAGCTTCCTGGGCATGTTTCCGCGATTGGTATTCGGACCGGTCGAATCGACGATTAACGCCCTTATGAACAGCTTCTCGCAGACTTTTTGTGACGCTTAGCATGCCGTTATCGGCGAGAAGGATGATCAGTGACTCTAGGATGATGGAGATTTTGGTGTTATCGGCTATGAATTTTGTGCTGGCCGCGTAAGGCAGGAAACATTGTTCTAGCTTCGCTTGGTTGAGATATTCCTCGTCGGTGTCGGGGGCGGCGGTCTCGCGCATGCGAAAGAGAAGGAACTCGCAGAGGGTGGTTTTGGCAGGGCCGGAGAGGTAGGGGAGGGTGGAGGGGCTGATGAAGGCTTGGAAGACAGGAAGGGGCAGGTGACGGATGTTTTCGGCGTAGAGGTGGTAGAGGTCTTCGAGAGGGATGAAGTCGTCGGGAAGGTACTGGGAGACTGTGGATAGGAATTGTAGGAGTCGTTGTCGGAGACCGAGCGAGCGCATGCCTCCGTAGAAGCCGACGTCGCCGTGCATGTAGGGGATGTGTCTTGTGGGGAGCTCTTCGATGGGCACACGAGCGCCAGTGCTTGGGGCAGAGCCGCCGTATGGGCCGGGGGGTGTATTGATGCCGTTGGGGCCTATGGCGAGTGATTTGCCTCTACGCTTGGGCTGGGGTGCGCGCCGAGGGGTGGGTTTTTCTCGAGAGCGTTTGGACCTGCTGGTGGTTGAAACAGACGAAAATACTTCCTCGTCGGAATTGGCGTCCGTCTCATTGATATTCTTGTTTTCATCGTCATACTCTCCATCCTCGATCGGATCATCGTCCGTGAGGTAGTCGCCGAACTCGTTCTCATCGATGTTGACCTGCGCGCTGCGCTTTCTGCTGGTGGGGGTGTGAGCTTTTGCGTATTTGAGTTCATTGTCGAAGACTTCGCGAAACTCATTGCGCGAGGTCGAGCCACCGTCTGCAAAGATGGAGCGGACGATGCGCCGGTATGGACCGTACGTGGTGCTAGCTCCGTGAATGTAACGGAATATGAGGCTTTCTCTGAGAATTTGGAGGGCTGGATCATCGTCATGATGCGTTTTCTTCCTTCGGGACTTCTTCGGGGAGGGCGGTGGTCCCTGTTCACTAATGGTGTTTCCGGTGTGAGCCTCCTTGTACTGTCGAAACCGCTCGTTCCAATCACTCTCTAGAACATCACACATGTATTCAAGCCAGACCTGCCACCACGTCCAGCGGGGCCGATGGCGAACAGAACAGTTGAACGCCCAGCCAACGACATGCCAGAAGTCTTCTGCGTTGGACCACAGGGAAAACGACTGGCTGAGATCTAAGTTCAAGGGTTTCGTATCATCGGAAGACAGGTCCGAGGATGGGGGTATATTCTCTGCCACAGGACGTCGTCTTGTATGGCGGGGGAAATCGGGTAGGTTGAAAGAGAATGCGACGTTTAGCTTCGAAGAGATGGGTCCGACAAGGGTATTGGTCAGTCGAAGCAGACGTAATGCGGCCAGGGGTGCTTCTTCCTCCTCGGTTGTTTTTGCGCGCGTGGTGGTGGAGGGGTGTATGAGGAGAGTTGCGGCTAGGGCGAGTTGCTGGACGGGCGGAGTATATACTGGCGCTGAGGCAACGGTACCGGATGTGAGGATATTCAGTAGAAAATTGATAGCTTGTGTATCTAAATCGGGAGGTCAGATGTGGACAAAGAATCAGCGATGCGGAGGAAACGGACAGAGTCTCTCTTCGAAGAAGATAGCTGCATGTTGAGCTAGCTCAAAAGGAATGGGTTTGGCGGGTCGATGAACAGGCAAATCAGCCTCTAGCGGTTCTAAAGCGGCCATAGAAGATGGGAGTGAAGAGAGAGGTAGAGAAATGAAGAGGATGTGGAGAAGATGAGGGAGACTTGGAGATGGAATGGAAATGGAAATGGCAGAGCGATAAAGAAAGCGACGCGATGCTTATCGATAACCCAGCCGGGGCAAGCACGTGTGCCAGCCAATCAGATGTGGTGCCTGACAATGCGGGCCACAATCAGGCAGTCCACACTACGAGACCAATTCGGTTTGTTCCCTACTGTTTACAACAGAGAAATGAAGGGTTGGTTGAAATGGACGGATAAACCAGGTATCCTGAGCGTTAGCCTGAAACTTCCTGAGCTGCGGAGAGTTGATGATTGCTAAATTATAGAATATGATGCATAATAATGAGTTCACTTTCAGCAAATCAGGGTGCTGTAGTGTAGTGGTCATCATGAAACGTTGTGGTTTTCCGCAGCGCCGTTTCGACCTGGGTTCGATTCCCAGCAGCGCCAACAATTGGCGTTTGAGCCTGATCTGCTTTCTTTTTTCTTTTTGTGCGATACACTTTATTTATCGCTCTATTTCATTCGAAACCATGTTCTTTGTCTACGGCGGCCATGATATAATAGCCCTTTTTCTGCTTTCAATTCTGATACTGTGCTACATTCATCAGTGTCTCTCTTCCATTGCTACATTCAAGCCACCGAGTCTCTGTGGGCAAAGGGACCTAGATACGTAGTATTCCGCATGAATCGCCATCACCATACTAATATACAAGTTAATATGCATTCTCATCGGGGTGGTAGTAGTCTATACAGCAACTAGTGAATATTAGGTAGTAGTACTATATGATTACTCCATGTATAAGTGGTACGAGTGGTTGGTGTGTCTGAATACCTTCCCGATTATATATAGAAGGGCTACACCACTACACCGAAGGATAGTGAAAAGCCATATGGCACCTAATCACGAAAACCAGGAGAGATAAGCAACGAGCGTCTCATAGAGCTAAGTGGTAACTTCTTAAAGTCATATGCACAAAAGTTAGTTAGTAACCTGTGGTGTAATTAGTGGCTGGCTACTCCCATGGATCCGACTCTCGGACGGAACACCGTAGGAGCACAAGTGTGATGAACTCCCAGGATACCCATTTGACAGACAATCATACTATCCAGGAAGAATTCCAAGCCTACTTCTGTTCCACCATAGCACAAGACAGGGAGTTGGGTTCTGTAGCAGGTTAGTCGTCCTCGCACAATTCGTGGATTAGCAAGCATACTGGCTATCTTGCCCAGCACCACCCTGGAGAGCCACCGTCCGTTAGGTCACATGGATGGAAAATATGACCAGACACCACTATCTGAACGGCAAGTCAGACAGAATCTTCTTGAATAGACCGTGGGCAGTCCCACGGATCATCCACAGCCACTTTCCCAACCAGCCCGACTGTCCAGGAACATGAAGCTATACTCCTTTCGCTCAGGCCCGAACAAAGTTTGGCCGAAGTACCCACACCCCGTGCCACGAAAAGCTTGACCTGAGCCAATCGTTTGAGGATACACGTTCCCATCATTCGTATCATCCTCTTTTTCCGTTTGCCGAGTGTATGTACCCCCCCAAATGAATGCCTTTATAGCAGTGGTGGGGACGACATATGGCAGGGATGAATCCCCCGCGCCCCCTTGAAACCTGTGCGCAATGTCGGTGAAGTTTGGATGAACCTTCCAGTTGATGCCCCGCGTACCTCGTATGAGGTGGATGACACAAGCCAGAAAGGCAGGGAGCTGCGCGCGAGCCGTCCGGTAGACGATCCGCATTGCCATTGGTGATCTCGGCAGTCGAACGGGATTCACCAACCAAGGGTGCACAATACGAAGTCACTGGAGCCAGATGATAGCCATTTACTGACAATATCCAGATAGAGATTGGCTTCAGAGTATGCCCGAGGTCCATACCACTAATTCAGCTGGTCCGAACGATGCTCCGTAGGCCTGATTGGAGGGGCGTAGTCTAGTTATCGGATGTCTCACTTGAGACTCGACTCACCACCGCAAAAGACCCTGGCATTCCCGGCTAATTGACCCGCATATTCCACAGACCCAATAACTAACCATTCTTTCCGCCATAGGCGCATTTCTCTCAACTAGCACGTGTGTTTGGGGTGGTTGATGAATGGATCTATGTCTCAATCTGGTCATGATAAGCGGACGGATACCCAATCCGATCGGCTCGTTGGACGTGGGGTGATAAACAAGATCGACCACGGTGAGGGTAAAAATCCTCCCTTCCTACCTCGCATCACCCCAATAGCAATCATATCCTACCTGATGCATGTGTCATACACGGTATGGTAAGATGAAACCTGTAAAAAAATTCGTTTTACGGCGAGGGGTAAGACGGATGTGGCTCGAAGAAAAAAAAAGCGGAAGAAACCCGCCAAGCGAGTGAATACTTATCAATCAGCGGATCTCGTATTTCGAGAGATTATCTGATTAAATAACTTTTGTTGTCGCGTGTGTTTGTATTGCGTTCATAGGGCCAATCTTATTCCCTTCGTCGTCAATATGGGCAATAATCCGGTCTTTGCTGTCACTGGTAGGTTCATCGCAACATAACAGATTTTCTTGAAGTGATAGGTTACTAATTGCGACCAGTGTTCTTCATCTGCTTCCGAGAATGCCTGGAAACAAGCGTGGTTGTGTCTGTGCTGTTGGCTTTCTTGAAGCAGACTCTCGGGGATGACGGGGGCGATACGTATAAGCGACTCGTGAGACAGGTAAGTGTACTCACGGCTTCAACATGTCATTATCGCTGAATTCAATTGCTGATGATTGCCTCGTCCCCACCAGGTCTGGCTAGGATGCGCACTCGGACTATTCATCTGCCTCTGCGTCGGCGCCGGCATGATTGGCGCCTTCTACGGCCTAGGCACAGACACGTTCTCTAGCACCGAAGATATTTGGGAAGGAGTCCTTGGAATCTTAGCATCTCTCATTATTGCGGTCATGGGAGCAGCCCTATTGCGAGTGTCAAAACTGCAGGAGAAATGGCGGGTTAAGCTCACCAAGGCCCTTCAGCACCACCGCAACACCAACACCTCGCGTAAGGGCCGTGTGAAGATGTGGCTCGAGAAATACGTCATGTTTATCTTGCCATTCATCACCGTACTTCGTGAAGGACTGGAGGCAGTGGTGTATGTTGGTGGTGTTGGATTGGGATTGCCGGCTACCTCTTTCCCTTTGGCGGTAGTGGTCGGCCTCATTGCAGGATGCTTGGTCGGATATCTGATTTATCGGTAAGTAAACCAAGCACCGTTACTCGCTAGATGACACAAGCTAATGCAGACATCGCATGTTATAGAGGAGGCAGCGAATCAACCATGCAATTTTTCTTGATTGTCTCGACCTGCTTCCTTTACTTGGTAGCCGCGGGCTTATTCTCCCGCGGTGTATGGTACTTCCAAAACCACGCATGGAACAGTATCATTGGCGGGGATGCCTCCGAAACGGGATCAGGCCCTGGGTCCTATGACATCCGACAGAGCATCTGGCATGTTAACTGCTGCAACCCCGAGTTGGGAGGTGGCGGCGGATGGGGCATTTTCAACGCCTTGCTGGGATGGACCAACTCTGCCACATACGGATCCGTGATTGGCTATAATCTATTCTGGGTCTGCGTGATGCTCGCCTATGCTGCGATGTTGTATCGGGAGCGGCGTGGTGCAATCCCCGTTATTGACCCGATGATTGCGCGCTACCAGGCGTTCAAGGCCCGGGTGATAGCAACCATTCTTCGTCGGCCAGTGGAAGAAGAGAACGTTGAGCCGGTGGAGTATTCTGGGATTTTTGCGGAGAGTGGCAAGGCGAAGGAGACTGGTGCCGGAGAGCCCATGTCTGTGAGGGAAGCGGAGGTTAGGGCTGCGTAGCGATAGACCGATGGTGCTAGACTGCTAGTATAGACAACGGAGCGGCGGTTTTTCTCATTGAACCGCGTCATGCGGGTAATGTAAGTAGATTATAATTTGTAATCGCATCTGGCGGCTTTGTGGTTCCTTGACGAACCAAGAAAAATAATTGGCGCCAGTTCCGCAGAATGCCAGAGGAAGACAGAATGATACTGCGTAGTAAAGCAAAGTAGGGCAATCGTAATTAAATCAAACAACACATTACCGCAAAAATACTAGCGTAATACCCGTCTTGGCGCGACCGGGCCCAGCATCAGATAAGCCAACGCCCAGACAGTTTGATAAGATTGGGGGCACAAGACACCATCTGCTCGCTTGCAAATGACGAGGAAAAGGAAAAATCTGTTCGACTGTCATCTTTAAGCCATTTCATTGTTGAAGATATTATAGCCAAGCCATGCCAAGTCGGCGTTCTCTACCTGAACTGGGGATCAAGCTATTGTGGGACTGCATGCTGGGTGGGACTCCGAGAAATCTACCAGTTCGGGCGATAGTGGAAAACCGTTCCTCACGTACAGCCCAGTATTCGGTAGTACTAGTCAATATCAGATGGCTATCTGATTCGTCTCAAGCCTCGCATTCGTGGATGGCTCCTCCTCATTTTACCTTCATCCGGCGGCCCGACTGATTGATAAGTGGGATGATTGATCCATAGTATCTAGTAGTCATACTAGTCATTAATTTCATCTTACCTTTTTTACTTTTCTCTCTCGTACTCCACCCTGCCAACTGAAACCCCCAAAGGGCCTCCAGCCCAGGGTATATAGAACCCCCAACATAGAACCTCCCCCCCGCCCCCTTCCCTATTTCTCTCTTTCTTTCCCTGTCCGAGCAAATCCCCTCCCTCTCTCTCGTCCGTCATCATCCGCCCTTTCATCCCGGACAGGACGGACAGACAGACAGACAGACAGACAGACAAGATGGCCTTCCCCAGCCGTCTTCTCCCCTGGCTCGCCGCCACCATCTTCTTTTTCATCGCCCAATGCCAGGCCAAAACCGTGACCTATGACTGGAACGTCACCTGGGTGACCGCCAACCCAGACGGCCTGGCCGATCGCCAAGTCGTCGGCATCAACAATCAATGGCCCCTGCCCATCATCGAGGTCGACAAGGGCGACCGCCTCGTAGTGAACATGCACAATGGACTCGGCGACAAGAGCGCTTCAATCCACTTTCACGGCATGTACCAAACCAACACCACGGAAATGGATGGCCCATCCATGTTGACCCAGTGTCCTGTGCCGCCGGGCAGCTCCATCACGTACAACTTCACTGTCAACCAGAACGGCACGTACTGGTACCACTGCCACACCGACTACTGCTACCCAGACGGCTACCGCCAGGCCCTCATCGTGCACGACAACTCCTCCTACTTCGCCGACAAGTACGACGAGGACCTCACCATCACCATGACAGACTGGTATCATGAACTGACCGAGACCATTGCCCCGACCTTCATCACCGTCGAGAACCCCACCGGCGCTGAGCCCATCCCGGACTCCTTCCTCTTCAACGACACCCTCAACACCAAAATCCCCGTCGAAGCAGGAAAAACCTACCTCTTCCGTCTCATCAACATCGGCGCCTTCGTCGCCCAGTACTTCTACATAGAAGACCACACCATGCGCATCGTCGAAATCGACGGCATCTACACCGACGAGGCGGAAGCAGACATCCTCTACATCTCCGCCGCACAGCGCTACACCGTCCTAGTGACGATGAAGAACTCCACGGAGAAGAACTATCCCATCGTCACGGTCGCGGACTCCCAACTGCTCGACACCATCCCCTCAGACCTGCAACTCAACCAGACCAACTGGCTCGAGTACAACTCGAGCGCCGCGTTCGAGCAAGCCGTCATGACCGTTTCCGACTGCTCAGATCTCAACCCCTACGACGACATGGGCCTTGTCCCCCATGACAGAATGGCCCTTCTCGAGAACCCTGACATCTCCCTCGAACTCACTGTCACTATGCAGGACCTCGACGACGGCGCCGACTACGCCTTCCTCAACGACATCTCCTACACCGCTCCCAAAGTCCCCGCCTTGTACACCGTCATGTCCGCGGGTGACCAGGCCACAGATGCCACTGTCTACGGCGACTACACGCACTCCGTCGTGCTGGAGAGGGACCAAATCGTCGAGATTATCCTCAACAACGGCGACACGGGTACCCACCCATTCCATCTTCACGGTCATGCCTTCCAGATGGTCGATCGGTACCCGCCGTATGGTCCTCATTTCTATGACTACGCCGACGGTGATCCGATCACCTACAATGCCTCGAACCACACTGCTTTCCCGGAGTACCCGCCCCGGAGAGATACCTTTGTGCTTCCGCCCCAGGGTTACTTTGTTGTGCGCTTCAAGGCCGATAACCCCGGTGTGTGGTTCTTCCATTGCCATATTGATTGGCATTTGGCGCAGGGTCTGGCTATGGTGTTCATTGAGGCCCCGTTGGCTATTCAGTCTAGTGTTACTATCCCCCAACAGCATTATGATGTTTGCGAGGCGGCGGGTATCCCTACGGCGGGTAATGCGGCCGGTAATACCGAGGATTATACCGATCTTACGGGCCAGAATAAGCAGGTTGCGTGGTTGCCTGCTGGTTTCACGGCTAGGGGTATTGTGGCTCTGGTCTTCTCGTGTGTGAGTGCCTTCTTGGGTATGGGCATGATTGCTTTCTATGGATTGTCGGATATTAAGAAGGGTGGGGGTCAGGTGCAGGCTAGGAGGGAGGAGGAGGTGAGAGAGCATGAGGATTAGTTGTTTTACTTTTATTTTTTGTTTTGTTTAGATTAGGGGGTTTGGAGAGGATGCTCTGGTTTGCATCAGATACCCGATGAATTAGATAGGATTAAAAGTATGTAATGTATTAGAAGTGTAAGGACTCTTGTCTATCGTCATCTTCGTAACTCGTAAATCCCACAAGATGGGCATCGGAAAATTATATAAGATGGAAAGGGTTTCCCGGGTTCCACACATGGCGGGATAGCGGTATGCATGGTCAGCATGGATCGTATCAATATAAGGAAGTTGGACTGCCTCCCCCACCCCCATACCAACGATAGAAGCCAGCCGACGGTATACTCAACGCCGTGCCTTGCAGTAGGTGGTCTGGACAACCCTTACTGCCCAGTTTGACTTGTCTTTCTGGGGAGGGTGGACTCCTGGGCCACTAGATTGCCCGGCAATTCACCTAATGGTAATCGAAATGTTAGTTTTTGTCTTGTTTAAAATATTGCCCGCCTGCTGCAAGGGCTCTTTGGAGGCGATTCAAAATCAATGATCACGAGGCCGCCAATCTCTTCGTTCCAAAGTATATTGCGCCATTCTGGATCACTATGAATGACACCACACGCACTGATCTGTTCCAAGACCTCATTGCGCTGCTCTCGGAAAGAAGGAGCAGTCTGCTCAGTCATAACCTTGTTCGCTCTAATACCTGCCCAGCTTAAAACAAGCATATGCGCCATCAACTGACCGTGATACCAGTACCGAACGCGCGGAGCGAAATTCCCCACGCATACTGGAACATGTGTGCCTTGAAGAGAGCGGAGATGATGGTAGGCTTTGATTTCTTGCTCGAGGCTTGGAAGCTGCTCGGCGCTAGTGGCCTTTAGAACCACAGTATATCCATGGGATAATATGGTGGCTTTCAAGAGATAACCAGTCCTACCGACGATGTGTAGCTGCTCGAAACCAAATTCCCGATCGCGCGATAATTGATCAGACAGGAGACGCGTCAAATCACGAGCGTTGATGCTGTGGACTAGATGTCCGTGTCTTCTGACGTTCGGACATTGAGGATCCAGAGGGCCTTTCTTAGCCAAACCACGCAGGCATTTCATCGTGCAATACTGGTCTTGAATCGCGTTCTTTGGATTTTCGTTTCCTTTCGGCATGCACCCGCTAGCTTCCTGGGATACTCGTCCTCGTCCTCGTCGTTGTCCCCGCCCCCGCCCTCGGTTGTCTCGAGCCCTTCTAGAGGCATTATTAGGCGGCGGAGAAGGGGAAGGCGGGCTTGAAGAAGCTCCTGCTTCGTCTCCATGCTCATCCTCATCGTCAATTCCTTGGCTTTTCCGTGACGGCTGGAAGTCAGGCTGACAACGCCGTCGTAGCATACACGGAGACCGATCCACGGGTTTCCGCGACGGGGGCTTATATTCGGAAGACGGCGGCTCTTTGCGGACCGATTCCGGTATCTGTTTCAAGATATCCAGGTATTCGACTTCCCACGTGTCCAAATCATCGGCTGCATCGTACCACGCCTGAGATGGACGTTCAGCTTGCACGGCGTTGAGCGTGAAGGCCAGAACCTGAGCAACTGCTGTTCAATGTAGACGAAGCTCATCCTCGTCAGTGACATCCCGGTTGGGGAGGAGCAAATAGTATTGCACAACCGAAGGATCTTCGGTGATGCGGAGGCAGATGAAGGCCTCCCCGGTGCAGATATAGCCGTGTTGGACTCCCACGTCTACCATGTATGAGAAAAGCTGGGTGATTACTGCTGCGACGAGCCGAGTAGCATGGTATTCGAAGCTATCTACATCCGTGTTAATGACATCTGTCTCCAAATCCATCTCATGGAGACCGGCGAGTATTTCAGCCAGCGATAGCTTATGTGGAGCTTTGTGTTCGACAGCGTACACGGGCACTCGTTGATCGTCTGATAATACATGGACGCAGAACTGGTCAGCGCGACGGTTGCGTCGTCTCCGATGGATCGGCCGCTGTGCACTTCGTGCTCTGCCTCGGGTAGAAGGTACGTGTTGTACCGATTCTGCTATTTGAAGCTGTTGCATTGACGTTTCGAGTGGAGAGGTCATGTCATCGGCATTGTTATGGTCCTCGAAACTAATATGTCCATGGAGTTTGAAGCGCCGTCGAAGTCTGTCGTTGTTGTGTATCTCTTTTAGAATTGATTTTACGAATTTATCCACTGTGTCGCGTTGGAAGTATTGAAGTTGAAGTTCGGACCTTATTGGTAGAATATCTTGCCGGAATGAGATCCAGTTGATTCTTGGACGCGAAAGCGCGATGCGTGGAAAAACCGGGGCCTTCTTTATCGAATGCTTCCCAGATGGCCTCGAAACCATTCCCAAGGTACTAAGCGTTTAGGCCGTATTCTACTGACAGGAATTGTTGGGCCATCCTGGGTTGTTAAAATTGCATCTGCCTCGACAGGGATAGCAAGAGAAAGCTCATGACACCCTTCGAGAAGACCAAGAAGGGTGCTTGGTTCGACTTGTTGCTCTGCCTGACTGATTCGCTGTTCTGCCTGAATAGCTCGCTGCTCTGCCTGGCGGAGTCTTTCCAACAATGTGTTCACATCATGCTCCATGGCGCGAGCAAGAGAAGGTAATGGTATGTTTGTTGGTTGTGAATAGTCGTAGTAGTAATTATCCCTTTCGGGGCCGACAAGAACTTGCGGTACTGCTGGTTAATTGTTGATAGAACGTGGGACTGTAAAAGAAAGAAACAAACAACTGTTTCAGTCCACTTACAGCATGCACTATGGAAGAGAAAACCTACAAAGGGCAGCACAAGTGCTTGTCATTGTCCTCTGGAGATGAGATGGAGTGGGTTAGTTATAGTAAGAACTAAGTCTCCACCTGGGGGACTCAAGTTCATTTTTAGGAGACCGCTTTCCCCGCTCTGCTGTGAACCAACTGTGCAGCTTTAGGCGCCTTGGCACATCTAGACTATTTTACCCTTAACTCACAACAGTGTGACTATTGGGATAATCATCAATTATAGATCACATCTCCATCATCTTCATTAGATTTACCGACGCAGCAGACTGCCCCCAAGTCTCATGTGGCCAGCTAATCTAGTCATTATCCAAATTGGGCACGAAATGCATTCGTTCACTCTGATCTTCCCCTTATCGCTGGAATCACTATTTGAACACTTCATGTAACAGTTCCTGTCAAATTTTGATCAGCTGTATCTGGTGGTCTAACCGTGGAGTGCACCTATTGCGTACTGTCCAATTGTTTGGCGAGTTAACCCTCAAAAGGAAAAACATTATACACCAAAATGGTTCCTCCAATCATATCACAGTAGATCGTCAGAAGGGAATAGAGGCCTTGATGGACGAGTGAACAATTTACACAACTCTCGATTTCTGGACATGGCTGTATTGTTCAATGAGTTGCTGGACCCTAGTATGTACCGTGGGACTTTTACTTCGATTGAGGATAGCTGATCTCTTCTAGAGGGAATAACAGCAGGCCAAGGGACAGTTGTCTGTCTGATAAACCCCTTCACTGTTGTTTGTTTGATGGGCTTGTGGAATACGATATATATACCAGTATCATAGTAGGTTATCTCGGCTGTTCCCATGGCTGTGGGATCGCGTAGGTAGAGTTGCATACTGCTAGCCGGATTCGAGTCTAATAAGAGGCTATAGATTACTCCGCTAAAATCACGCCATCAGAGGCGGACTGCTGCCTACGGGCAGCCATGTCAGGTCTACAGGTAGCACCACAGCATAAGGAATATCTTCTTATATAGAGTGTAGTGATGAGAAGAGAGTCCAGAACCATCAGACCGGCCTCCCCTTATCTTCATCTATTCCGCTTACCCCATTCACGCCAGCACCTTTCTATAAACCGAACCACAATTTCCCCTTTTCCTTGCCTCCTCCATTCTTTTCGTTTTCCGAAACAAGACACTGACGGGTCTGTCTGCCCATTGCATGCCGAGATATGAGACCCACGAAATCGAGCACGATAGAGATGTTTGGGATAAAGCAAGACGTTAAGAGAACAGAGAGGCAAGGAAAAGTGACAGCGACGCCAAGCGGAGAATATTATCAAGAACGAGAAGTAATAGTTTAGTAGTGAGAAGCAATAACACACAGGTTAAGTGTAAGGGAATAAAAGCAAGTAGATAAAGCCAAAAAGGAAACGGAAAGCAAAGAGGAAGAGAGAAAGCGGCTACTCTTCGGGTATATCAGAGAAGAGACCTATTCGCAGACGGTGCGACTAATGAGAGCAGTTAGCAAATGACTCACCAACCACATAATAAAGCAAGGACAGCACATACAAACGGCAATTTCGGGATGACAACTCCCAGGGTTGCAAGGAAATTGATGGTGAAATACGTCAAGTCGTAGTGGGTATAATGCGTGCTAAGGAGGAAGAGACAAATGGGTACGCAGAGGAGGAACTTCTTCGTGGGGGTATACTGGTCTCCGTTGTCGATCTGCTCCCACATGTTGAGGTTGTCATACGCGCCGGCGTTGAATTCAAAAGGGATGCCTCGCACCCAGTGGAACATGAGGAAAGAACCGAACATGTAGCTGATGTTGGTGAGCGTCCATGAGGTCTCCTGCGAGACGCCGGGAATGATGTCGAACAAGATCTTAAGGGCAATGATGAGAACGAAGTGAATGGTCCAGGCTCCTAAAGGGTAGTACAAAGTGGTCAGCCACTGAAGGTGTCATGGAAGTCATGGGGACATATGCTGGTGACAAGTCCCCGCCGGAACTCGAACCCCTCCTTCTGCAGCGACGGAGTGGTGATGATTGAGGGGAGGGGGGGGGAAATGGTGGAGATGGAGGTGGCCACTACTCACCCTTGGCGTTGACCCAGTTCGCATTCAAATTGGGCAGGGCAGCCTGGTCGCTGGTGTGCTCAATGGACTCGGGAGGCTCTTGGTAGATGATACTACTCGACCGTCTCCTCCGTCCAGCTTTGCCCTGGGCCATGGTGGTGTCCGGGGTCAACCGGCGCGACGCAGCGTCGACGTCCGGGGGGAAGGAGATGGCACGGGGAACGATTAGGGAAGACACTTTGGCGGTATTGATCGGAGATCGAGCGAAGAAAAAAGGAGGAATCAAGTGACAGGAATGAAGAGGAAATGGTCGTGAGAGAATGGCAGAGTGGTAAAAAGGACGCCGCGGGCGAGAGAACGAGAGAGCAAGCTGGCTGGAATACCGAGAGACTGGAGTGACTTCGACTGGGAGGCGATCTTGAAGACGATCGGCGGCGGTGTTGGTCACGGGAGCAGGTCTCCGTATTACCGGAACAGGGGGTAAATTACCGCAGGGCCAAAGAATGAAGTTGGACCCTAAGATAATATAATATCACGAAAGAAAAAGCGAGTGAGTGTCTTGCAGGATGAGGAAGGGAATAGAAAAAAAATCTCAAACGAAAGACAATGGAAGAGAAGAAAGAAAAAAAAGTCAAGAAGAAAAAAATAAAAGAAGCCAGCAGTCCGACATCCCGAGGGGCAGCCGAGCAGATCCTCAACTTCAAACTAATTGTCGGCGTGGCTAAGAATAGCCGGGACGCTTGCTGCATCCCATCGTTCTAGATAGAGTCTAGACCACACCATCGCTGCACCAACCAAATGCCATTCCTGTCTGGGTTGATTCGAGACCTTAATTAATGATGATATTGCTATCTATGCTATCTATGAAGGGTTTTCTCCTATTCCATATTCCCTTTATTGGTTATCACGAACATATGAAATCTTACTGGGAGTGTCTGACTCAGGATGAGACTCAAGTGGATAAAGGCAATATACGATCCTTTCGTTGATAGCATCTACCAAGAAAATTACTACGGTAAGTACTGGCTGAGAGCTTCTACTTAGGTTCGTCTAGTGTCCACACATATTAGCTGCAGTGACCATATAGTCTATCTACTGCTGAACAGCTTCAGAAGCGTGTAGTAACCATCTCAGTCTCAATGGCTGAATACTCCGTTCTGCTATTATCCAATAAGATAATAATTAACAAGTTGAAATGTCCACGCCCTGACAATCACTCATAAAATATTCCGACTCTGTTATTCCCGGAGCAAAAAAGCAAATGGATCTCTTGGATATTGAGAAGGTCGCGAACATCGGATAGTTTTGCACTAATCACATGGCATTTGTCGCTTTAATCCAGGGTTTCCCTTTAATAATGCAGTAGCTGATCCCCTAAGATCCTCTCGGTGATCATATCTGAGTTACCACCGCATCTCTAGGATTCCTGATAGGCCGTATCTCGGTGAGAGGACCCATATAAATTGGATATATCCAGCACAGCCATCCTTTACTCGCGTCATGACGAAGATCAACAACAATCCAGCAATTCGTAGGATTCCTAGGAGTAAACCGGCCCGTCTTCAAGATCGGAAAATCTGAAAAAAAAAAAAAAAAAAAAAAAAAAAAAAAGCCACAATATGTGCCAATTCCAGACACTGCAGCTCATTACTTAGCTTGTCTCCCAATCCTCTCCACCTTCAACTTGTACCAGACAGCCATCAGTCTAAAACAATGAACGTCAGAAGCAATAACAATAATGGATGATGTGATGCTAATACTCGTTCGTGACGATACAATACTTGCACATGGCACAAGTGGCTCCTACCACCCGCCGTAAAATTCTCTCCGCGAAATCTGAAGGTAAATCCGAAACGAATCTTGCAGCAGCAAGCAAACGCCCTCAACTTCCTGCTCCTTCCCCCTTCCATCCCCGTCTTCTCCCAGGATGCCCGATTCTCCATCCGACGACAACGATTCCAGAACCGCCGCAGTCGGCCCCCGCGCTCAGACAACCGGCTCCCGCCACTCCTCGCGTCAGAGCTCCCACGATTCCAACCCGAACCCGCGGAAAAGGCGTCGCCGCAGTCGCTCCGCCGACGTTCGCAATGTTCGCGATTTCGTCCCCCAAGGCGCTACCTTTAGTGCAGCGGGACTTGGTGTTGATGTAGACGCTACCTCATCTTCCGGTTCCGACAGTGACGACGGGTCGTCCGACGGTGGTGATGATGATGATGATGATGCGCAGACCGAGACCGCGCCCGCGCCGCCGGCGAGCTGGAATAAAGGCAGCAAGAGTGCGATTCGGACATCGCTTCGCAGTCGCGCGAAGCCAGAGGAGAGCAAACCTACGTCACAGTTCGACTCTGTCAATGACAAATTCTGGCGCAGTCGCAGTGAATCTGTCTCCTCAGAAGGCGAACATGAGACGGAGGCGTCAAAGCCCGCTCAAGTCGATGGTATTGAAGAGGGCGAAGTGAATGAGGAGGAAGCTTCAGACGAGTCCAGTCAGATGCAGCTCTCCGGCGACTCAGATGATTCAGAGTCTTTGGGATCGGAAGCAGACGATTCAATCTTGCTGAATATCGGGTCACGGAACGGCCAAAGTCTCGGTCAGGACCAGGATGGCTTAATAACCCCAGACGGCGACGACGACTACGACCCCGAGGAATTACCAGTATCCAACGGAACATCTACCAACGGACAAACCTCCACAAACCAATCCAAGGAGGACGCGCTCCTCCGCTTTTCGAAGAAATACCCGACCGCCCCCTCAACCCTCGCCGACCTCGACCGCGAAGACATGGACATCCAAGCGAAATACCGCTTCTACGACCGCGACGTCAACGCCATCGACCTCCAACTCCCCATCGCCTGCACAGAATGTCTACTCGAGGGTCACCTCGCAGAAGTCTGCCCGTCCCGAGAGGTAACGCTCACCCCTCCCCCCCCCATCATCCCCACAACTACCAACTAACCAACCATATAGTGCATACACTGCGGCGCCTGGAACCAGCACCAAAGCAGCTTCTGCCCGACCTGGCGCCGGTGCCAACGATGTCGCGCGCGCGGTCATGACGACGACAACTGCCCATCGGCACTGAAAGGCTCCTCCAGCGAATTCCCCTGCGAACTATGCGGCTCGACCACTCACATTGAAGAAGACTGCGACCTGATGTGGAAGCTCACTACTACCCGCCCGGACTCCGAACCCGTCCTCGTCTCCCTCTCCTGCGCCCACTGCACCAGCAACCGTCACCTTATCGGCGACTGTCCCTCCCTCCCATCCACCCGAACCCTGCTCTCCTCATCCTGGACCGTCCGCGGCATCGACCCTAACATGATCACCAACATCAACTCCGTTGTCAATCATCGACGAAACAACAACAATAATAACAACAGCAACAATAATGGTAATAACCGAGGAGGTCTCAAGATCCGCGGCCGCGCCGACCACCGCCCGCCTTCCTCCGACAGCGACGACATGATGGCTCATCGACGTGCGCCTGTTCATCGCGGCGGCCGCGGCAATATTCGCATTGGAAGCGGCATCGGCAGAGGGAATAAGAACATTTCGGGTGGAAATGGGTATCGCGATAGATCTGATTTCGGCCCGTCGAGGCAGCGCTCGATGTCGCCGAATCCTCGTTCCATGCGCGGGAGAGGTGGGAAGGATAGTTGGCAGGGCAGTGGTGGACGGGGGAAGTCGTCCGGTGGCGGTGGTGGTGGTAGCCGGCCGCCGTCGAGAGGTGGGAATCCCGGTCGTGGAGGAGGTCGTGGTGGGAAGAGAGGTGGTGGTGGTGGTGGGGATGCGTATCGACCGTTACCGAGTGCGGCGAAGAAAGCCTGGGACAAGTATCGGTTGTGATGGAGTGGGTTCTTATCGTTATGAACAGGTTCGTTGACGCTGGCGTTTCCTGTGTGTGTGTATATATACCCCGAGGGTGGAACGATTGATGTTGCATGTTTCAAAAGTTGTGTTGAGTTAGATCGTAGCTCATAGCTTAGAGCTCATTATATGTACAGACAAGATGATACTATAGATATCCAACGTGATGTGTACAGGAGGACAGGACAGTATTAGTCTCTATACGCCATTCTCCACGGCATTATCCGTAGACGTAGGGGTCTTCTCACCCCCGCGATGTCCCACGAACCCTTCGTCTAAGATGCGAATCAACTCATCTAGCCTCTCGATACAGAGATCCGTATGCGCATGGTCCTTCAAATGGCCGTTATGGTCGTTGAGCAGGAGCACGGTCGCCGCGCCGGCGGTATGCCCGGCTGTCATGTCGTCGAGAGAATCTCCAACCTACACCGACCACGTTCAAACACACCAAATCAGAAATGAAACAGAGAAACAATCAAGAAAAGAAAGGAATCATACCATAATCAACCCCCCCGCCATCCCCCCCTCATCCTGCACCCCCCACTCCCTGGCAATATGCAATATCCCTGCTGGATCGGGCTTGGGCAACAACCCCGGTGTTTCCCGTGTCACAATGGGGAGGAAGACGTGTGCGGGGAGATGGTTGTTGAGGAGGTTGAGGACGGGGGCTCTACACCACATGCTTATTAGCATTCATCATACTACAACCAAAGCAACTTCCAATAGACTAAGGCGTAGGGGGAGGGAGGTATACTCAAAATTCCTTGTACACAAAGCCCTCTTCACCCCCCTCTCTTCTAAGAAATCCATCAATTCGACCAAGCCCGGTTGAGGCTGCTGGGATTCCATGGCGGTGCGCTCAATGGCTTTGATTTTGTTTGTAGCTTCGAGACGCGATTCCGGGGTTGGGAGACGGCTGATGTGGTGTAGGATGTCGACCTTAGGGGGGATGTTGAGGGCTTGTCTAGATTATACGTTTTGTTAGTATGGGTTGGATTGTAGGGTGGGGGTGGAGATGGAGGTGGGGGAAGTACCGCATTTCGGAGAACATGTGGTTTTGGGGGAGGCTATATATTTATATTATATTTGGTTAGCGGTGGAATTGGTAGCTATGAGGGTGTAGGTATAGGTATACCATAATGTGCCGTCAACGTCAAAGACGATTCCGCGGAGTGGGGGTGCGGAGGAAGAAGAAGCAGAAGAGGGGAGGAGAGGGGCGAATCGCCGTTGACGGAGAGGATAATTGTTTAGGGATGCCATGAGGGAACGGGAAATGCGTAGGGCTGGATTAGAGATGGACATTGGTAGGAGTCAAGGTAAGGAGGGGAGAAGAAAAGAAGTAGAGGAATGTAGAGTGGAGAAGTGACGTTGAAGAAGGAAGTGGTTGATGGGCTGATAAGATGGAGTGGAGACTGGCATGCGGAATTAAGAGGTGGGTTTCCTTAATTACTAGTTTCGGTTCTATACTTCATGTTACTATAGACTCCATCCATATACTGCAATACTTCTGAACTGCATTCTATCTGCACCAATTACATCAGAACAGTTTCCACAAGAGATTGTCAAGGTTTAACGGTTGCACCTTCCTCTGCACCAGCAACATCTCCTTCCACACTCATATCTCCGAGTCTGACACCTCACAATGATCTATCTCTGCTTCTCCCCTGCAGTCCTCATCCTTTTTTTCACCCTGCATCCAGTATAAATCTTCCTGCCGGCCACCATGTCAGCCAAGAAACACCATCCAGCTCCTCGCGATCCTATTCTCAATGCCATCAATATCCGCACCGTGCTCGCCCTCCTCGGCACTCTCCTCACCATCAAGCTCCTGAACTTGCTGGCATGCCTCACGGGGGTGCGACGCACCTCGCCCCGATATCCCTACAGCTACGTCGGTCAAGCCATCAGTCGCAAAGAGCAGCACATCATCCAGATCCTGCTCGAAATCATCCCCGAGAGCAGCACCTCGGTGAATACCAGTCTGCCCTCTAACGCAGGCTTCTCCAGCCCCGACGACAGACCCACCACGGCCGACAGTGTCCCCTCCTCCAGTCTGGTCATCCCCCTCATGCCGGTGCCGTCGCGGGTTGTTCAACTGTCTCACAGCGCACCTACCCGGAGCTTGGAGCTCGCTATTGCCGATAGAGACCGGGTGTTTGATGACCATACGAGCACGCGCGCGAGCGTGCACTTCCTGGGCCACCAGCCGCTTCCTAGTGACTCGGTTTACTCGTCGATTGTCCGGAGGAGTCTGTCGATCAGTGATCCGAATTCGAATTGTTCGAGTCCGCAGCAGGGTATGCTTCCAGGGGTGCGGTTTTCGGGGTTCATGTCGGATAGGGTGCGGTTTAGTATATTGAGTCGGCCGTGGTCGATGGATAGTGTGTTGGCGGATGAGTCGCAGCCTGAGCAGGTCACGTTGGATATGGCACAGCTGCAGCAGACGCGCACGGCAGACAGCTATCCAGGACCGTTTCCCATCAGTGATGGCTTGGAGCCGAGCTCGTTAGCCACGGCGCAGTGTGCCAACAATGGGGCCAGTGAGGCCACCGCGGTGCGGACCTCCGTGAGGCCGTTTACCGATGTGTAGCAAGCAGCTTTGGGGGAGGGATGAAGATGCAAGATGTACACTATTCCTCGACGGAGCTATCTGGAGCAGAAGATGCAGGTGCAGGTGCAGATGCAGAAGCAGAAGCGCCAATAAAGACCATGCAGTATGTACTGTGTAATGCAAGTATGTAATCCAATCCAAATAATCAATCATTCATGCACATTCCTCCTCATGAATCGCATGATCCAAATACCCCATAGCCCGAACAAAGATCTTCGCACTGTCCAACACACGTTGCTTGCAATTCCCAACCGTGTCCATCCCCATGAACGCCCCATACGCCCGATCAAACTCCGTATGTTTAAGAGCCTTCCAAATACCATGCACATCATCCGGCGGCAGGGGAATCTACACCAGCAGCAGCAGCAGCCCATTAGCAACACCCCCACGGAAAGAGAGAGAAAGATAGGAAGACAGGAAGACGTACCATATTCGGATAACTCCACATAAACGTATACGACGCCGTGCCCTCCCTCCTCCCTCTGTCCCCATAATCCCCAACCCCACTAGGAATCGTCCCAATAGTATCCGCCAACAACATCACCTTTTCATCCTTCCACCACAGCACCGAACTACCCGGGAAATGACCACCTGTTTTGACTCCTATCACCCCGCTGCCGGGGAGGACTTCTACCTCTTGACCGTCCCAGAAAATTTGCCTTGCACTGCCACCATTGCCCTTACTGCCTTCGGCATTAGTAGTATTACTGGATGTGTCAACCCGCATAACCCACTCCCTATCCTCCCCGGACAAATACACCGGACAGTTAAACGCCTCCGCCCAGACTAAGTGCGTGGCGTAGTAATGCGGATGGGAGATGATGATTGCGGAGATACCGCCTAGCGCGTTGATGTTGGTGATGGTCTCGGTGTCGAGGTAGGGGATGCAGTCCCAGAGGATGTTGCCATGGGGAGTGAGGAGGAGGAAGGCGCGTTGGCCGATGCAGTGTTTGGGGGTGGTGTGGAGGGTGTAGATTTTGTTGGAGTTGGGATGGGAGGGTAGCGGGGAGAGGATGTTCTTCAGTTGGGGTTCGTGGGTGGGGGCGCGCAGGGCGCGGAGGGTGGTGTAGTCTTGTCTGTTGGTTTTTATTGTGGTGGGTTAGTATGTGGTTTGGTGTTTTGCGGGTGGTGGTGGTGAGTATGGCTGTGTATAGGGAGAGAGTGGGGGTGTAGTATAGTCAAGAATGGGGGAATAGAGATATACCCAGTTGGAGGGAGATATTGACGGGGATCATCGCAAATAGGACATGGAGTTGGCGGCGAGGGAGTTGAGAACTGGGTGCCGCAGGTGGTGCAGATGGGGAGGTCGAGGGGGTCAATAATAGTAGTATCACTAGTCATGACGATAATAATATTGTACCTGTATCTGGTTGTAGTTATTTTGACAATGTAGAGATACAAAATCGAAACACCCATCAAATGGGAGATATTCACTGCTTAAATGTATGGAAGAACATCAGCTGTTCTCCGCATTGACCCCGCATGTACTGGAGCCATGGATCGCCGAGCTGAACCTCAGCTGAGCTGCTGCTGCTCTGCAGCTGAACTGATAAGCTGCAAACCAGGGCTCGACTTAGGCACAATGATGTCAACACTATCTGAATCCTAAAGAAAAAAAAAAGGTGGAAACTTTTGTATTCCATCCATCGCATGGCATACAGCCCATCCATTATGCACTAATCGAGAAAAATATGCTGCAAGAAGGGAATCATATAGCACAAAAATGCAAAGGTCGGTACAAAAGTAGCAATACTAGTCGACACATCCCCCCTTTCCGCCCATACAACCATCCATTTCATGCACGCTTGCTATCGCTGCACGGGTCATAAGTCGTGAACATAACAAATCGTATAACAGGTCCAAATCGAAAGAAAACATGACGAGAGGAGAAAAAATAATATTGGGTATCAAACGTCTGTCGCGTCAATAGTCATGGTCGGCATCCACCTGCTCCGGACTGGCGCGATACTGGCTTCGCTGCCGCCGTGCAGGGCTGAACTGGCTGCCCGACGTTAGGGGACGAGGCCCCGTGGGTTTCCGGGGAGGCGGTGTGCTACGGGGAGAGCGCATGATTGAACTCTACAGAGATATGGTCAGCATCATGCGAATAAAACGTCCCTTCCGGGTATGATCACTAACCCGCGAAGCAACTCGTTCCATGTACGATCGCTCATCGTCTTCCTTGACTTTGGGCGGCCGCTCCGGGATCAGTGGCCCCTCATCCTTGATCTTAGGCGGACGAGGAGGCCCCGTGTGCCGCGAGCTCGCTTCCGAGTAGCCCGCGTCTGAGATGGGCGAAAGACGACTGGCGCCGCTGTAGCGCGGGTTGGCGTTCACGCCAGACAAGCTGGGGTTGGATCCCCACTGGTCCGAAGGTGCGCCCGCTGGCACGCCGTAGACCTGCGCTTGCGTTTCCAGCTGGTTTTGGTATCGCCCCGACGGGCCTTGGCGAGGCTGGGGATGGTGAAGATCGAGACTGCCCCGGTGAGCCCGGTACTTCGGCGCCTCCGACGCTTGTCCCGATGCTTGAGAC